CTCTCGACATGGTATCCATCCTCGTGCTTCCAGACTTCCAGCGTTCGAGTTGCTGGTGTAGCCATCTTAATCCCCCCGCAACAAGCTCTTTATTTGCCAGTTCTTCTTTTTCCTCTGTAACGCCGAAATGGCTGTCCCTCCCGATGCCTCAATGTCCAACCCTTCAAAGGATGCGAAGCCTGAGGCTGGCTTCGAGGCCGTCCACGATGAGAAGGCCCTCGAGCAGAACGAAGTTCATAATCATCGCGGAGACTACTCGGGTGCTGCAACCAAGACTGACCCTGCTGAAATTGCCTTGGTCCGGAAGCTAGACAGGATGATCATGGTGAGTCTTGCAACCAAGGACTACTGGAATCTTCACGCAGAATTGCTGATTGAGTAAGCCTATTCTCTGGGCCATGTACTTTCTCAACTACCTTGACCGAAATGCTCTACCCCAAGCACGCCTGAATAGCCTCGAGAAAGACCTTAACCTCAAAGGCGTTGAGTACAACACTGCCATCTCGATTCTATTCGTTGGTTATCTCTTAATGCAAAGTATGCTCTGCTATCCAATCATCATAAACCACAACACTAATTCCACCATTCGACAGTTCCCTCGAACATGTTCATGACACGAACTCGACCGTCCATATACTTATCTTGCTGCATGATTGGTTGGGCCGCCGTCTCAGCCTGTACCGCCACTGTCAAGAGTTACTCTGGCCTGATTGCGTGTCGATTCTTTTTGGGTTTCGTTGAGGCTGTAAGTAGTTGCCAGCTTCCAATAATGGCTACCTATACTAAGACCTGAAACACAGCCATTCTACCCGGGCGCCTTGTATTTGCTATCGATCTACTACACTCGGAAAGAGCTCGCTACACGTATTTCGCTTCTCTATACAGGCCAAGTCGTCAGCACTGGCTGTTCGGGGCTTATCGCGGCAGCTACATTCTCTACACTAGACCAAGTAAAGGGAATTGCTGGCTGGAAGTGGTGAGTGAATAGCTTTTAATCAGTTACAAGACTTAATCACTAATGTATGGACTCTTAGGCTCTTCATCATTGAAGGTTCAGTGACGGCTCTTGTTGCCATCTTTGGCTTCTTTCTACTCCCCGATGACCCATCTGAGACTCGATGGCTCACTCCTCAAGAGCGTGAGCTTTGCATCAAGCGAATCAGCCGAGATACCGTTGGCCAGCAGGTTCGAGGCACTACTTGGGAAGGTCTCAAGCAAGCTTGCAAGGATCCTAGAACCTGGCTTTTTTGTCTTATGCAGAACCTCCACATCAGGCACGTTGCTCCAAGATGTCGCTTTTACTAGCTTGACATACTAATTACATTTCAGTGCATGCTCCTTCAACAATTTCTTCCCAACCATCGTCCGTGCCATGGGATTCAAGTCTACTACGGCCTTACTCCTCACCGCACCCCCATACTTTGTTTCTGGCATTCTCGGCATTCCATTCGCATGGTCGTCTGGTCACTTCAACGAGCGGACTTGGCATATTACCGCCGGCCTCTCTCTTGCCGTCGTCGGATTTGTGATGTCATGCGCCACTGTCAACGTGGCAGTGCGATATACAGCCACTTTCCTTTATGCTACTGGCGCTTACTCGGTCGGGTCTGTCATACTGGGATGGGTCAGCAATACCCTATCCCAAACCCCTGAGAAGAAGTCGGTGGCGTATGCTCTGGTGAATGTTACAGCCAACTTGGCTTATATCTACTGCGCTTACCTTTGGCCTTCATCCGATGGCCCGGATTATCTTATGGGGTTCTCTACCATGGTTGCATTTGCTGCCACAAGCATTATGTGTGCCTGGGCCATGAGGTTCTGGCTGAAGAGACTCAACCGCAAGATTCTTGAGTCAGAGAACGAGGCGGTCGCTCTTTATGCCTACTAGATGATTCTGACTTATGTCAAAAAGTGTTTAGTCTAGGCCGATTTTCAAGTCTAAGAAACGGAACGATTGAAAGATGTTGGAAATCTTGGGAACAAGCCTGCAAAGTCCCAATGTACACAGTTGTCTATTAGAGCCTGTTCTCGATGGTGTCAAAATTGGTGTCGTTATAACGTGAAGGTGGATTAAAAATTGAGTAGCGCATATATAAATGCCATTAAGTAGACATGCGGCTTCATCCCCCTGGACTTGGCGTGTTGCTGTCTTGTAAAGTATTCTTGAGCCGTGTAGTAAACTGATCAGAAAGCTTCCTTGTGGATCTGTCGAAACGCGGTTAAATTGGTTGTGTTATTCTTATGATCCAGCCTTCGCTTAGTCAACCGACCCCGCACCAGGGAACAAACTTCCGTCATTTTTCGGACCATGCATCAAGATCTTTATAACCTTCATCATGACTTCAACTCATGGCGAAGCGCGATTAAGTTCGCCAACTAGTCGAGTTCCTGGTCAAGTATGGTAGGCTAGCATTATCCTTTGCGACTAATCCCTAGTTTCTGGGGTTCCTCCAACTAATACAAGTTGAATAGTGATCGTTGTCGACGGTATGTCCCATGCTCAAGACGCCAGCTTGTTTTAGACCATCTCAACATCGATACGATAACCTGCAAGCGGAGATCCTCACTGACATACGCCCTAGAAGAAAGATTCGATGTCACGGCGAAGAAAATGATGTAAGCAGTATGCCTCTTCGCCTTGCTTAAGTGTTACTGATTCCATCTTATAGTGCTCTCCATGTCTCCAAGCCAACGTTGTATGTGTGACAACTGCTAAGTTGAAGAGGAATAGGAAGCGCAAAAGGCAAGACATAGCTTTCTATTACCTCTTACCCAAGCGCTTTCTAACATAATATAGCTTTTACGAAGCCGAAGGAATTGAGCAGCGCCGTGAAAAGCCAACAGATACCTCCCAGCATGTCACACATACCAGCTACTCTCTACAGAATGCAGAAGTTCCAAATTCTACTGCTACAGCTACCGCAACTCCCCTGCCGCTTTCCTTCCAGCCGGCTATTCAAGGGACAGCATTACCTACTGCTCCCAGCTTAGGTGGTCGTCAAATGAGCACCGACCAAGCCCCCTCTCAACCCAGTTCTCTTAACCCCATGAAGGAGCCTGTGATTGGCCATATGGGCCGTCTTGTAACTGATGATCGACAAGTACCCATGTTTGGCGGTTCAACTACAGGCGTCCACTTCATAACTCAAGCTGAACAGCAACTTCAACTTCTCCACATGCATAAGGATGCACTTCCCAGCTGTGCATATGGCCTATACCTCCATAACCCGTGGGGAGCTTCGGTCCATAGTTCTGCGTCGCCAGTGGTGGATATCATCACTCAACTTCCTCCGAACACAATTGACATTGTGCAGGCAACCATAGACCGATGGACCCCATTGTATCCTATTGTTCACAAGTCATCGACAATCGATGCAATCCAGGGGCTTCTGACCTCGTATCAAAGTCCAGGCTATGATGTTGTTATACTTTACCAGACACTTGTTCTACTTGCATTAGGAATGATTGGCCAGAAACTGGATTGTATACAGCAACACAATCACTTCTTATGTGCCTCTGAACCCTTTTACATGATTTCCACTACATTGCTGGAAAGAGTTATTGGCCAGACATGTTTGCAGAGCTTGCAAGGTCTAGTTATCACCCAGCTATATGTTCAGCTGTCAGGGCGCTATCCAACAGCATCCCACATATCCGGTCTAGCTACCCGAATGGCTCAGACTTTGGGATTGCATCGACACTCTGATCGATTCAAGTTCGACCCTCTCGAAACGGAACTGAGAAGGCGGGCATGGTGGTGCCAGTATTCCTTAGATGCGTACGCCCGTCCCTCAATTCTCCACACTGTTGCGTTTTTAGTGACTCCTTCGGTAGATTCTCAAGCGCTTATCATGGGATGCCGCGTCTGATTCGCGATCAAGATGTTGATACCGACTTTCCGACAAGTGTCGATCATAACCTCTTGTCTCGGACTCGTGTCGAATTCCCCTTACCGGGTGAGCGATCACAAGTAGATACAGCCATTAGTCTTTTCAAGCTTGCTCGCATCATGGGCCGTACTCTTGAAGACCTCTACACTACAACCCGTCGCCGAGGAGGCGTTGCTAAGATTGCACGTCTACAAGCTGAGCTTAACATGTGGGAGCAGGTTATTCTTGAACCTGAGCTTGAGCCTGAGCCTACTGCGTCGGTGACTACCAGGTCTCTAGAGGCCACGTTTTTGAGAGTTGCGCACTGCGTTGCCACAATTCACATACATCGACCGGCTTTGTCTTTTACATCTGCAGATGCCCAATTCGTGTCATCTCTCAAAGCATGCGGCCAGGCTTCCGCAAAACTTGTTGAGTTACTATCTTCTTGCTTAGGCACGCAGGGAATCAGTCATGATGCCACAAGTCGAGTCATGATGGGCGACTGGCCAGAATCTATGCTTGTCACACTCCTCTATCCCAATGGAATACATATGTTGTGGCAAGCAGGGTTAACAATCCTATTCACGGGCTGGAAAGGATATCCTGTATCAGTCGATCAAGACGAGAATCTGATTCAAATGTGTATTGCGACTCTGAGGGAGTTTCATCGGCATACAGATGATGTTGGGAACCATATTGGCCAGTGTGCTGATGTCTTGGAGCTGCTTTGCAAGAAGGTATTCTCAGAGTTGGAAATAATGCCTGATCTTGATCAGCTTCAGTGGAATATTTGGGATTGGCCAATAGCATCAGCGCTGGAACTTGTAAATACTCTTGATATAATACCCTTGGATTTAAACTTAAATCTGTATTAATAAATACAATACATTTAACAAGAGGATTCCATTTTACTTACTTATTTCTTATATCAGTCCATTATTACATAATTATCTGGCGCCTCTATAATGTCACAATATGGCACATGTAGAAGATATTATCCCGGTTTAGCAACTCCAAGCTTTATAAATTTCCAGACCACTGATGAATAAATATTATATCTGACTCAAGAAGCATTTAGACGACAGAAATACGAATCATTATTTATTGCAATTAAAGTCTGCTAGAAATCTAAGCTAAAAAACCACTCTCCTTCCAGTATCTTATGTATTTCACAGCAATTTCTGTAGTAACAGGACCTTGTGCTGACAAAGTACTAGAGTGCTTCTGTGCCTTCATCGTGTCGAGAATCAAACCACCGCAAGACATGCGCTCAAAGTTAGAATCCAAGAAATCAATAAGTCGTGCAGCCGGGTTCCAGGTATCGGCTGGAAGTGGCGAGTTACGCACCAGCTTTACCCATCGGCTGAAAGGGATAATGCGCCGAGGTGGAATGTCCAGAGCAGCCGCCAACGCTTGTGACATGACTTTCCAGGGCTGCCCAACTGGGTTATCGATATGGTAGACGGGATGCGGCTCAGGACGATCTATATCCCCTAGATATAGAAAATCAACCATGGTATTAGCCACATTATCCACTGGGACCCATTGCACAACGCCATCAAAATCGGGCCATGCACGGAGAGACTGAGCCGACTTGACGAGAAATGCGAAGTGTTCTATGGGATTCCAAAAGCCGCTTTTGCTTGAACCAGCGATCTGTCCGGGACGCACAACCATGGCATCAAAGACATCTGGATGCTTGTGTAGTGTCTGATCGAGGATACGCTCGCATGCCCATTTTGCTTCACAGTAACCGATGTGAAGCACAGATCCTAGGGAAACACGCTCCTCTGGACCTCGGGATGAGTTGAAGTGGCCGACAACACCTATAGAAGACACGAGCTGGAACGTGATACGAGGAACATCCTTGCGACGGGACATGTCCCGTGCAAGATCCAACAGGTGACGGAGAGCCCGGAATTGAGGTTCGAATGCCTTGACAGGCCGAGTTCCACTCATTGGCCAAGCGTTGTGTATAATGTGCGTCCCATTCTGCACCAGCCATTCATAGTCGGACGTAGGGAGGCCTAGGTTGGAGCTCGAGGCATCTACTTCGAGAATACGCAACTTGGATTGCTGAGCAGAAGTGAGTGTAATGCCGCGAGACCTGAAAGCTTCGTCCTGTCGTTCTTCAACTGGTGCCCTACTTCGGCGGTTGATACAGACAACTGTTTCCACATGGTCGTTACTCGCAAGACTGCTGGCTAGGTGAGAGCCGAGACTACCGGTAGCGCCAGTCAAAAGGACCACAGCCTTCTTGCTCTGGGTCCGGGTGATTGGGCGGGCGTCTCGTACCTCGTTGTGTGCCTCAAAGCCAGCCGAGTACTTAGCAATATATCGTTCAATTTCCAACTCTCTCTGCCTTTCCTGCTCTTCGCTTATCGACTCCTCAACTGCTGCCTTGCTCAAGGTTGATTTGGGTAGCCTATCTCGGGGCTTTCCTGATGCGAGAGCGATGATGACCTTCTGGAAAGTGTTCTCGGGCAGTGATCCATCAGTCCAGTCAACATGGCCGTAACCAGCGTTGTGAAGATTACGCTCCCATTCCTCAGCGGTAATAATGGCATGCTGGCGGCCATCGTCGAACAGCCACCAGCCCTCGAGGAGACCGAAGATGATGTCGACAAAGGGTACAGATTCGGTCATCTCCAGGATCATCAAAAAGCCATCGGCACGCAGTGCACTTCTTAAATTAGAAGCAGAAGTCACAAGATTCCTGGTTGCATGCACCGCGTTGCTACCAATGATGATGTGTTGACCCTTCAGATCTTCAGCTGGCGGTGTTTCGATGTCGTGGAATGCAAATCTCATGAAGGGATATGACTTGCCAAACTTGCGTCTGGCGTTTGCAACCATAGATCCAGATATATCTGTAAATGTGTACTCAACGGGGATTCCGAGCTTTGCTAGCATTGGCGCCAGGACATGGGTTGTCCCTCCAGTTCCAGCACCTACTTCGAGTATCTTCAGCGTCTCGCCAGGCTGACTGTTTCCAAGTCTCTCCACCAGATTTTCTGTAACAAGCTTCATGTGGTTATAGTTCATTCGGTTGAAAGTGTGGTCACAGTACAATGCTTGTACTAGATCACGACCCTCGATACTTCCAAAGATAAGACGAAGGCCGTCTGTCTTTCCCTTGAGAACATCGGCCAAGTGAGTTCCTGCATAGTAGGTGAGTCTGTTGGCCACTACAAACTCGGGATACTTGGCCAGCTGCTCTTCGAGTATCTGCGAACTTGTCTTGCGAGGAGTAGGAACCCGTGTACGCGTGATCTGTCCGGTTGTATCGTTGATATCGATAAGGCGGGCATTATCAGAAAGGAATCTATAGATGAAGTCCACCAATCTTGTGTGAGCTGGCGGGAACTGTATGCGTTCGAGGACTCTTCCAGGCTCTACAGTCGTCAGAGAGGCACCAAGCTGTTCAAAGGCCTCAACGACAAGGGCGACACAGAGACGACTGGAGCCAGCCAAGACCTCACGGTCGATGTTATCGACTTTAAAGTCTACAAGGTGCTCATCGCAGAGAAGTTTCACCTGAGCGAATGATGCCAGTACATCGGACGCGGAAAGCTGCAGATTGCTTGATACCGGCTTCGAATCCATAGACGATGAAGGTTTTGGTGGAGTCTGTGCCAGGTCGAGGTCTGTGGGTGTAGTCAAGCTTGACACCTTGCTCAAATCAGACGAGCTACCAGATGACTCGCTGTTGTCGTCGGTGCTGGAAGCTGAGGCACCATCGTAATCAGGGCCATAGAGCGCTTTCGATATGCATACGACAAACTTTCGGAGACTTGTTGCCTCCATCAGCTCATTCTGATCCAAGGTGCACTTAAAAACGACCTGAACCTCACGAGCAACCTCCATACCCATAAGCGAGTCGATACCAAAATCCGCCATTTCGGCATCAAGCGTAATATCGCCAGCCTCTATTCCTGCCACATGTGCCACAAGCTTCTTAACGTCCTCCGTGATATCCGGATGGCTGGGGGCTCTGGGCTTGATAGATACCCCCTCTTCTTTAGAAGCTCCTCTATCTTCAGCAACATTTCCAGGGGATAGGGGAGGAGTGAGTATAGGCTCAGTGGGCTTGGAGATAATTTCCGTTGGTGGCTTTAATTTGAGAGCTGACGGATCAGTAGTCAGCCTCGTCAACATACGGCGCATAGAGGCCTTTGCCACCCGCGCATACTGAATACCCATCATCACCTCACGCAATAGGCCAGTTGATGCATTAAAGATAAATAAGTCTGATACCCAGAGTTTCTCAGATTGGCGAGTATGCCGACCAAATATATGCCAGCTCTCCTGGGTCTGATCGGATTCTTGGTCGACAAACGGGGACCGCATAGACAACTCACAACCCGTGGCAATGAACATATCAGCTGGATCGCAGTCGGTCATGCAATTTACCCAGATGCCGCCGACTTGACTGAAGGAGTCGCTGAGAGGTACGTCGAGCCAGGTGATCCCAGAGGGTTTCTTGACAATGTGCCCTGTGCACTCAGTTGAAGAACCGACAATAGCTCCGACGCCACGATATAAGTCACCGTAGTCAACAACATCAGAGAACGTGCGGTATATGTTGCGGCCCGTCAGAACGTCAATCCGGTCAGCTTGATGCCCACCCAAGCCGAGCTGAAGCATCTTTGTGCAGTTGGTGTGGGTCACTAGTCGATCGAAGCGTGAGAACTCCGATTGATAGCCTCTATCGAGAGGATCTCGGATGTGAATCTCAGCTTCAACATGCGTCTCCGCATGTTTCTCGTCTGATTGTGACTCATGACTATAGATCCTCCACTTCCAGTGGGTACCTTGATCGCCTAGCGGCTCAAACTTGAGATAGGTAGTAAGTGAAGAGTTGACGCAGAGTGGCGAGTGGTTGACCATGTGGTGAATAACGGGGAGAAAGCCGTTTTCCCTCCATTTCGAATTGATGCTAAACAGTGCCTCGATGGCCATATCAACCATGAGGGTAGCAGGACAGATGGGGGCGGTTTGGGCAATCAAATGTCCCGAGATGAAGCTTCTGTACTTTTCTGAGCTTGTGTTGATACGGAATACCGGGCCATCTGCCTGGCCGGAAACCAAACTCCACAGACCGTCTGTTTTCCCATGTCCTCTTTCTTTGCCCTCGGCAGTGGACTGTGGGGGTCCAAGTGCAGCAGCAGCAGCATTTACAGCTTGAAGAGGAGATTTGAGTTCAAGCCAGTGCTTAGACATTTCAAATTGATATGGTGGTATCATCATCGTGGTGTACTCGCTACTCTGTGATGGGTGGTGGCCCCAGAAAGCAAGGGACAGCCCCTGATTCCACAAGGACAAGGTGGCGTCTGTGAGATTGTCCATTGCCTTGTCGTTTGTAAGGTTGATTGCTTGGAAGTACTGTGAACTGAAATCTTTGTGTCCTGCCAAGGCACGACTTGCCATCATGGTGATACCAGAGGTCGATCCCGCTTCGATAAAGACAGCGGAGGGGTAATCGTTTGCGAGTCGCTGTATAGCATGGTTGAAATACACTGGATTTCTCATATGCTCCGAAACAAACTTATCTTCTGGCTTGGAGTCGATCCTGGTACGAGTTGCTCGTTCCAGTGGTATGGAAGGCTCCTTGAACTCTAGTTCTCTACCAATGGCTTCCAGCTCCGGGGTCAGTTGATCGACCAGGCTCGAGTGGAAAGCGTTTGTCACGTTGAGCCATTTAAACTTGATGGACTGGAATCTGGAGTCTCTTGCTATCACCTCAGCGACCCTTTCGATTGATCTGGTAGGTCCGGCAAGTGTGAAGCTGCGCGGCCCGTTATGGCACGCTATTTCGGCCGTCCCATCTGACTCATTTGCTTCAGCCAGAAGCTCAAGTACATGAGCCTCCTCAGACTCGACTGCCATCATGGCTCCGTGGTCAACGCCCCAATGTTGCAAGCTAGTGACGACTTCCATCATGTCGAAAGGTGTCACTTTAATGTGAGAGCTCATTTTGGAGAAGCTAGCCTGGGGAGGAATGTACTTTTCCTGCATCATGACGATGACTTTAATGAGTGATACTATTCCCGATGCACCCTCAGTATGGCCAATGTGTCCTTTGACAGAACCGATGGGCAGTGTTGTTTCGCGGTTTGATCCGCCAATGGCAAGGCGAATACTTTCATATTCCGCGGGATCACCAACAGGTGTGCCTGTTCCGTGAGCCTCGACAAGGGAGATGTCGCTCGGTTTGAGGCCTGCTTTGGCGATGACATCTCTGAAGAGCTGGGAGAGAGACGGGGAGTTTGGCACAAACAAAGGGGTGCAGTTCTGATTTTGGTACACAGCTGTGCTGGCAATACATCCATAAACAGGATTTCCATCTTTCAGAGCATCGCTCAGCCTCTTTAGGAAAACACAGGCGATACCCTCGGCCCGGCAGTATCCATCTGCTGCATCATCAAAGGGCTTGCACTGTCCACTCGGGCTGAGGAAGCTAGCTCCCGCAAGGTTCTGAAACCAGAGAAAGTTAGACATCGTAGCTATACCGCCAGCCAGAGCAGCCGAGCATTCGCCAGACAGGAGATTCTGACAGGCTGTGTGGATGGCAACGGCCGAAGATGAGCAAGCTGTGTCGAATGTCATGGATGGGCCTGTCCATCCAAAATAGTGCGATACCTTTCCTGGAACAAAGCTCTTCAGGTTTCCGGTGGCCGTGAAAGCGTTGGCAGAGTGGCATGCGACATGGTGCTCGTAGTCAGCAGCACAAGCTCCAACATACACACCAACATGCCTCTTATCCTTATCGCCGCCATTGTCATTTTCAGTGAAATAGCCTGACTGCTCGACAGCCTGGTAAGCAGCCTGTAGAAACAAACGCTGCTGGGGGTCCATAGTGGTGGACTCTCTCGGACTGCGCTTGAAGAACTTGTGGTCGAAGGCGTCAACGTCTCTGATGAAATTTCCATACCAATTTCGCGACGGATCCTTTTCTTCCTCGCGAAACAGCGTGTCCATCATAAGACGGTCCGGCCCAATCAACTCATGCTGTGACTTTCCGGTGCGCAGCATTTGCGAAAACTCTTGCACGTCGTCGGCTCCGGCGACCTTGATTGCCATTCCAACCACGGCTATGGGCTCATGTTTGGCGGTCATGGTGACTGATCTCGCTACGAGAGATGGTTCAGGCAATGTTGAATTGACAAAGTCACTGACGTGTACTGGGAGGCGGTATGATAATAATTGAACGAAAGAATGCACTAAAGATAGAAGCCGCAATTCGGGATGTGGTTGGACATGTCTCGACATACAAGATTTTTCCTTAACCTTCAGCTCCCTGTTGGGAAGTTGAAGTAATTATAAATGAGCTTCTCTAAGTAGCATAAAGTAAAGTGCCCCAAGCTTCCCAATGACCATGCTTTTGGAATCGCAGCTATACCGATTGCGTGAAACATTCACCGGAGCTGCATCAGACTTCCGGGTAATACAGGACCATAAAGTTATGCCGGCCCAGTAGTCCTTTTGGTATAAATGCCATAAAAGTCCGAAGTAGCAGCTATTTCATTTTTTATACATAAATTTAAAATGTCTTTATTTATTAAATATAATATACCTAAAAGAATTAAGTATTTAATTATATAATTATTATACAGTATTAAAGAGAAATACTTTATGAATATATATTTATAAAGTTTTATAAAATTAAAACTAATTAATGTAAGTCTTTATTAAATAATTTTAAGTAATAAAATATAGATATTATAAAATTAAAGATATAATATTCTCTAAGGTGTTTTAAGCTTTAAATTTATTTTAAAATTTACTTTTATTATATTATAAGTTAAAGATTTTAAGTAATATTAAATAAGTCATAATCTTAATAAAAAAGGTATTATATACAGTGCTGTAATTAATTTAATAGTATTAGCTGAAGAAAGAGCTAAATAACATTAACAGACCCTAGCTAACTAAATAAAAAACCCATGCCCTGCTTCCGTAACCATCTCATTGACATTAAAATCCCATATTCGTCTTTGGTGACCGACAAGCTCCTCCCTACATTTGTGGGGATCTCGACCAGTCTTGGGATTCCTCCACTGATAAAGGTCCCCGATATCGCGAGATCCCTGCACAAGCCACTGGGATCTGTCGAGTCGCACAGTACTGTAGGCCCGGAAAGCAGCCGAAATAGCTTTGGCCCTACTATGTGCGCCCTCCTCGTTGATGTGGTCCAAGGCTAGATCTAACGTAGTAGCCAGGACGAGAGAGTCTTCTACGCCCATACAAGCACCGGCTCCGAGGAAAGGTGTGGTGGCGTGAGCAGCATCTCCAGCTATACAAACACGACCTTCTGCGTATGTAGATACAGGATAGTCGGCCGTGTCGAACAGAGCCCATTTTGTAAGATTTTCTGGCAGCCTCTGAACAATAGTTTGGATGGATGGGCTCCAGTTAGAAACATAACGGCTCAACTCATCCCTTGTCGCCGTTGCTGTCATCTTTTCGCTTTCCCATTCTCCAGGTTCGTGAACAAATATCGCAATGTTTAGGAAAGTCCAGTGAGCTACCTTTAATCCAGTTAGTGAATTACTACAAGCAACAAGCCATCAAAAGCACGGAAAGATATATCTCACGGGATATGAAACAATAGCCACTCCGGGCCCCATGTGCGTGCATTGATTCATTCCCTTATCGTAGCCAAAGGCGGATACAGCATCTGAAATAGGTATGAGAGCTCTGTACGCAACCTTATGAGCAAAGTGCGCCTGCGAGGGTAAATTGTCGACGTCCGCCAACAGCTGCCGGGTTCGCGAGCGGACTCCGTCACACCCAATCACTGGACCGCATTAGATGAGCCACCATTGTCCTTAACTGTATACCGAACACTTACCACCATCGACCTCGTAAATGCTTTGGTCCGAAAATGTGAGAGTAACCTTGTCGTTGCTCGCTTCGTCTTGCAAGTCTTTCAGTTGTTTCCCCAGCTTGATCGAGCCGGGGGGTAGCATGCTGGCCATCTCATGTAACAAGTGAGATCTGAGGCACCCTTTGTAATCCAGATCTCTTGCTGATACTTCAAAAAGTAGAGAGTCCTTGGACTCTGCTTCTTCTTGCGTGGTAGGGTTGAAACCATCCCAGTAACGATTGCAGGGATGGCGGTTGACCTCTCCAATGCGCTCCAGGACTTCCAACAAGCGAGGATCTAGTCGCCTCATGCACTCACGAGCGACGCCGGTGAATGCAAAACCAGCACTGACTTCAGTAAGCTCTTGAGCTTGCTCAAAGACAGTGACCTCAATTCCACGTTTCAACAGTCCTATCGCTACCATCAAACCTACAATACCACCTCCTATCACTGCGATTTCGAATGATCTCTCTGTCTTCTTCGTAATAGAGTCATGCTGCTTGTTACTCATATTGACGGTCTTTTTGTATAGATAGCGGATGATTAGAAGATGCTTCGACCAAAAGGAAAGTTAAGTGTAGTAACCTGATTCATAATATGCTGAAAAAGCGTTACGAACAGAGGTACAAGTAACTATTGTTCCAACTTCATGGTATGCGTAATGTCGAGTCTTTTATCAATGTTTCATGTTAGCATGCATGCCAGTGAACTTCTTGGCGCCTTACGGAATATTACATCGGAGTTTTATTTATCAGCAACATCGTATATCATTTCGTTACATGCAACTTTTCTCACATACCCAAATCACCTCTTTATCCATATCATATCAATTTTAACCATGAAGAAGACAGTTTTGATTACCGGATGCAGCGTTGGTGGCCTTGGTTATGCTTTGGCTGAAGAGTTTCACAAACTTGGCTATCACGTCATCGCCACAGCCCGAGACACGACAAAGATTGGTCCCTTGGCAAACAAACCCGACGTTGACGTCTTCCCTCTCGACGTCACATTGCCTGAATCGATCTCGGACTTACTTGCTAAAATACAGGCCAAGGGAATCAAACTAGATTTTCTTGTCAACAATGCTGGCTGCGCCTCTTTCAACCCTTTAGTGCACGCGGATATTGATAATGCCAAAGCTTTATATGATGTGAACGTGTGGGGTTCTCTGAGAGTCACTCAGTCATTTATACCGCTGTTGGTAAGCACTCAAGGAGTGATACTAAACATTGCGTCTATGGCTGGAGCAGTTCCTCTAGCATGGCAGGGAAAGTGGCTTCATCAATTCATCATTCAATAACTAACGTCGCTGTATACAGGCATTTACAACAGTTCCAAAGCCGCTATGACCTTTATCTCCGAGACGCTGAAGATTGAACTCGAGCCTCTGGGGGTACGTGTAGTGACAGCCATGGTCGGCGCTGTCAACACTGAGATATATGGTGGCTGCGATGTGATACTACCAAATGACTCTTGGTATAAACCGATCGAGAGTATAATTCGAAGGCAAGCAAAGGGAGAAATGCAACTGCCCAATAACGAGGCAGTGGAAGTCACAGCAGCGTCTATCGTAAGAGATACGCTTAGTGGGCGAAGGGGGAAGATCTGGCGTGGTGGGGAAGCGGGTATAGCTAGTGTTGGCTCGTGGCTCTTTCCGACTTGGCTTGTTGAGTCTATTCTCCATAGGAACAGAGGGTTATCTGCACTGAGGAAGGCACATAGGCAAACTTAGAACTTTCAATCAATAGAGTTTATGGGACTTTGCTTCATTTTTCCTATTGTGAAAGTGGCAAGCTTCTGAGGAAACTTAATGAAATGCTTATAATAATTAAGTAACATCTGATAAGTTTAGGGCTTAATGTTGTGGACTTCTGGCCGAAAGGTAGTTACTAGTAAAACTTTTTAAAGTAACTGTCTAAGAGGGCGTATGTGTTAAGTTTGTCGGATAAATATTTCCTTTATATAAAACAAAACTCCGGTAAGACTACTAAATAATACTTCAATTCTGTAATAGCAAGGTTTCAATCAGAGGTCCAAATACATCCCATAGAGCCCAAAAGGCCAAGTCTAATTACACACTCCCCGCATTATCATCAAATAATTTGTCAAACCACATTATGGCCTGCATCAATTTAGGGACAACGCGATTTGGCTCACGATGGAAACCTCTGTTGTCGCGCCATCGACAGTCTACCGACAGACCAGAAGCGAAAGCAAAGGTGCCAAAAAATACAAAAAGCAAATGGCCAACCTGCCTACCAGTTCTTTCTACAATCTCAGAGGCTTATCAAGCCACATCAATTAGGTAAAGAGGTTTAATTCAGTTTTGGGATAATATAGAAATACTAATATTAAATGCTTAGTGTACCTATACTGTTTATGTTTTAGAGATATATTAAAGTCTTATTTATAAATTATTAAATATAAATATATATCTATCTCTGTATAACTCCTATAAGACTAATATATGTTACGCTTCGCCAAGACATTGCCAAAAGTGCTCGGAGTTGCTTTCATAGCCATTGGGGGGTTTTGGAACTCCCACTTACCCTGAAGAGCAACATTGCACCAAGACAGCCATAGGTACTCGCGCCAGCCAGCTCTCCCTTTGGCGGTTTTTGATGCCTGCAGCTCCTTATGAAGGTCTTCAGCACTCCCTTCTTTGACGAATTCCACCGCGACGCCCGTCACCCTTTCATATTCTACTGCTAGCTCTTCAAGAGTGTTCACCCCGGACTGAAACTTGAAGATGCCCCCATTGCCAGCTACCACATCAGGCTGCTTCAGAAGCTCAATAGTCCACTCTGCAGCATCATCCATCGGAGTCCATGGGATCTTCCTCTTGTGGAGATCCCCCCAGTAATGAAGCTTTGCTGACTTGCCATCCGACTCAAAGGGCCCCATGCCTGGCAGAAGTAGATAATCAGCGAAGAAGCCTGTAATGATATACACTGGCTTGATCGGACTCGTGGCTGCAGCATGATCGACGAATGCCAGGACGCTGTTGTATAGTTCGAAGTCGCCAAAATTAATTGACAACCAGTTACTATTCCAGGTCCGGGCCACAAACGTCTTGACGCCTGCTCTTTCCGCAGCGCGAAGAAGCAAGAGGCACCCGTCGAGATTCAACTCGGGATCGGCTTGGTAGGCGCAAATAACTGCATCTACACCAGTAACAGCGCGGTCAAGGGCGGGTTTATCGTAGTAGTTATCGCTCTGGATAAAAGACACCAGTTGCTCCGTCATGGTGGTGTTAAGTTTTCCTGGGCTTCATCCCAACCCTCGGACCCGCATTCCGTTGTCAAGGGCAGCCTGGGCCAGACGCTGGCCCAGCAGCCCTGTAATACCGACAATTAAAAGCAAGGACATGTTAGAAGGTGTAGTTTTACTAAAAATTATTAAGTATAATACTTTAAGTAATTTAATACTTTAAGATATACTTAAAGTCTATATATATATAATAATTATATTTAATTATTAAAAAGAATTATAATTTAAGGTATTAATATTATTCAATTAAATACTTTATTTTTTATAAACTTTATATAGTAAGAAAAAGTATTTAATAAATAAAGTAATTTATTAAACAATATATATATTAAAACTTTAAATAAAGATATTAATATTAATTAAATATAAAGAAAAAACTTATAAAGCTTTAAATTTAATCTTAATATATAAAACCTATAAAACTACACTTTAATATCTCTTTTATTTACTTTATTTTATTATTTATTATTGCAACAAGGACTAAGAAAATGGCTTATTTTCTTCTATCCATCTTTATAACTACTAAATGGCTAGTTCGGTCCTATATGTGCGTACAGAGCCCCTGTTTGTCTCTCCAATATTAACTCTTGGCTATTTCAGTCTTAATATCATTATAATTTTATGCTTAGTTCAGGTTGCAAAGAGATTGAACTTAGACGACCCTAACGTTCTTAACATTCTCCGCTCTGTCTATATGGCAAGCAATCTTGCAATTGCAACACTATGGACAATGACATTTATTTCTATTGAAAGCAAGAGTGAGTTTTTACCTACAGCCTAAAAGGAGTTACTTACATTTCATAGACGACAAGTCCGAAGTGCAACTAAGTGACAAGAAAGGCCGTCTGATTACAACTACTGTGTACAAATATGACAGAAGCCTGTTGTTCAACGCTGTTCGCAAACAGATCTTTGGTATTCTTGTTGCTGTCATCATGCATTTCTTCCTCGGGTTGAAAGGGGCAATGGTTACGCAAAGCATTCTTCCATTAAAGCTGGCTTTTCAGAACAATTTAGTCAGGATACATGTGTTCCAGGGCGGTTCAAAGGACAACATTATTCGGCCTTTTAAGTAAGAGTAAAATGTATTTAACTTTAAATATATGAAGGTTGTGCTATAGGGACAAACGCTATATGTAAATTATCCTACAGTAAATTGCTAGGTATGCTAATTGCTTAGACATCTTAGCTAAGTGCTTAGAAGTGAGTTTTGTGTATTGATTGTAGTTAGGACCTATGACATGAAGTATCTATATGTCTCAACAAACTTCGTGATATGTAGCTTCTCATAGAGGTGTTGGTACTGCAGGGAAATAAATGTGTTGTAGCTAAGAAAACCTATGTACTGACACTCTATGTTTGCAGATCAAGCTTGAGCCAACCAATACCATGTCTGTTGCCAACCTCGGTTTTAGTCCAAACTTGCAATTGCTTCAGAGCCCCTTGAACCTTCTCACAATCGCTGCTATCAGGAGGATCTCGACCCATGCCAATTTCACGAATCTGGCTACCTGCTAGCGCCAGTGACATATGGTGCACCTCTAGAAAGGGTGGGATGGGTCTAATAGCGGCTGTGATAGCCCCAGAAAGAATGTCCCTTGGTAAGTAGGGCTCTTGTGCTGCAGCACGTGCTAGCCCAACGCCGTCAACTGTAGCGATTGCACTCACCATGCCAGAACTGGTACGAAAGCCTCCTGACGTATAGGATCTGGTCTTGTCGAGTACAGGTGTAATGGACTTTGCAAACTCTAGAAAAAAGCCCTCTCTAGTACTGGTGCTTAGAGCTTTCTTTTCGAAGTGGAGCACTTCAAAAGTTCCTCCGGTCAATTCGATAAAGTCAAATTGATCATCATTCAGTGCTTTGCAAAGAATAACTGCGTCTTCTGGAGTGAATCCATTCTCCTGGAACTCGGCGCTGTTGACCTTTATGCCCAGGATAAAGTTGGGCGATACTTTGGCCTTGATAGCTCTCATGACCTCTAAAGTCAAACGCGTACGGTTATGTAGATTGCCCCCGTATTTGTCAGTGCGGTGGTTTGTGGATGGGGAAAGGAATGCAGATAGCAAAAAGCCGTGAGCTGCATGTAATTGAATACCAGAAAAGCCAGCTTGTTCGAGGTACCAAGCTGCGTGGGCGAAGCTTTCAATCACATCTGACAAGTCGGCCTTTGTGGCCTCGCGGGGTTTGGCGAAACTCATACCCAACTTTGGCTCTAATGAAGACTTCAGTCAGCTTGCGATTGAATTAGCGGCATTTGGAGAACTCGAAATGGGACATACCTAACGGGGTAGGAGACGCTGAGATTGTCTCTGCTGATACCCGAACATCAACTTGCCTGCCCACATGAACTATTTGTCCAAGGATCAAAGAGCCATGAGCAGTTGCAGCTGTAGCAACCTGTTTTAGACGTTCGAATCGTAGGTCCCCTGGAATCGGCTGATGCTCCCTGCCGATGACAATATTGCCTCGATTATACAGGCGAGCATCGATATCAATTTGGCCTGTGACTATGACGCCCCAATCACCTTCTCCGAACCTGTAAAGTATCCATCGATAAGTTTATTTCTTGGCCAATTTGCGCATATGAATTCATACCGTTTATAAAGATTAACATATTGTTCGGTGGCGATACCGATATCTTCTGGATGATCAGCACTCCACGACGCCAAAGACTCAGCCATGGCGCTTTTCATGAAGCGGTTCTTGGCGATCCGCCTTGAAAAGTTGAACTCCAAGGGTTTCGCGAGCGCCGAGACATCGCATGTTGCTTGTTGCTGCCACCGATTTGCCATTGCTTGGTAGAAGGAGAGCAATCAAAATAGGATTGTGTTTTAGGAAAGGGGATAGTCGATGAACAGAGATGGGCCTTGTTTACACCAAACAATAATTCTTATAGATGGATTTCCGATTTAAACTGCTAAAATCTTAACATAACTCCGAGTCGAGCTGTTTAAGGTAAGTAGATAATTTATTCTCCTGAAGATTTCTATCATTTTTTCATAGCTAGTCTGAACTAGAAAAAGCTAGAATTTAAGTAACTTAAATGATAAACGGGATACTACACAGTAGCCAGGGCAGAGAGTATCTTTAAAACACTTAAAACTGAGGACTTGAGTCCTGGGTTAACGTGGACACATCCGCCTAACCCACTCAACCCCCAAAGTACCCCACACCACAAATGTCACAATGGTGCCCTCACAACAAGACCTCTTTTGCTCGTCGCGCCATATAGATTCTATTCTTCCCGATGAGTCTCTTTTACTCCCGCGCCTTCTTTGCCTTCACGGCGGTGGCACCAATGCACTCATCTTTCATGCTCAATGCCGCGCAATACGAGCCCGCCTCGACAGGACATTTCGATTTGTTTTCATAAATGCACCCTACTTTAGTCATCCCGGACCAGACGTTGAATCTGTTTATGCTGAATGGATTCCGTTTCGTAGCTGGAAACGACCCGGGTATGTCTTTGACAACGATGCGTCTCAGTTCTCTTTTACAGATAATGAAGAGATTGAGAAGATCGACCAGTGTCTCGCTGTAGCTATGAAGAAAGATGATGAGGCTGGAGCCACGGGTCCTTGGGTTGGTCTCTTGGGTTTCAGTCAAGGTGCCAACATGGCAGCCAGCTTGCTGCGGAGACAACAGATCCGGAAGCCAGATGCCAATCTGGGAACACCGACCGCAGCTGTGTTGGAGGCGAACTTCCGCTTTGCCGTACTAATGGCAGGCTGCGGGCCATTGCTATGGATGCGGTCTGATGTAACGGGTGACGAGCTTGAGTATGAAAAGTCCGAGCGTCTCTGTTTGCCAACCCTCCATGTCCATGGATTACGGGATGAGAGAATAGCTAAGCACAGGGAGCTAGTTGAGTTTTGCCGAGTAGATACCGCCCGGGTGCTTGAGTGGGATGGAGATCATCGTATACCAATCAAGTCGGCAGATGTGGCGGAATTAGTTGATGGGATTATATTGACTGCTCAGAAAACAGGAGTATTTCTAAAGTAGTGAGAAGATTTCCTAAATGCTTTTTTTAAGAAATCTAGATACTTACTTTCATTCCGGACAAACGATAAGTCATCAATATATTTACTCCGAGTATAATGATGAATTAAATTTCCTCACAGTCTTTTTAGTGGATACTTATCTGCTATAAGCCCTTTGCCCCATGATAGATTGAACTTCTACGAGTCTGAATTCAACTCTAATACTTCTATTATTATGTCTGGTTCTCAGAAATTGCTTGGAAAACATGTCTTGGTTGTAGGCGGCACAAGTGGAATCGGTCGAGGTGTTGCCCTGGCCGCAATCCGTGACGGTGCTCATGTCACCGTTATTGGCTCGTCACAGGCCACAGCTGACAAGGCCGTCAACTACATCAAGTCAGAGCTTCCAGAGGCCAAAGTATCTGGATACGGATGTGATCTAGACATGGAAAGCCTTGAAGACGATCTTGAGGCACTTTTCGACGAGATCGGTACAGTAGACCACATTGTCATGACGGCCACCAACTCCCACCCGCGCCCGATATCGATTCAGACTGTAACAGTTCAAGACCTCGGACTGGCAAACAGGAAATTGCAGGCCATGGTGATTTTGGCAAAAGTTGCTTCGCGACGGATACCTCCAGGTCGGCATTCCAGTCTTACATTCACTTCGGGGAGCATTGCGGATCAACCTCAGCCTGGATGCAGTGTCCTTGCATACATAGCCCAAGGAATGGTAGGCCTCGTTCGTGGCCTGGCCCTGGACATGAAGCCTGTGCGAGTCAATCTTGTCAAGCCTGGTTATGTCCTAGACACCGGGTTATGGTCGCAGATTCCAGACGAGCAAAAGTCGAATGTACGTGACGAATTGGTCCGCAAGAACCCAACTGGTAGTGAGGGCTTGGTTGAGGATGTTTCTGAAGCATATGTATATTTGATGAAGGATGGAAACTGCACTGGAGAAGTTGTCAGCACGAGGAGTGGGCAACACTTAGTCTAGAAGGAAGCAGCTTTTGTGAAGGGCTCTTTGTATCTTCTTAACGGCTACCAATCCTTCGTAGTATCTAAAATACACTATGATATATCACTAAAAGATCAATAGACTGACTTTTATCATTCGCAGATACTTAAATATGAAGCCATATAACAAACAATTAGGGTCAAGACCTTTATTTAATATAATAGTGTTTTAATTAATAGAACTCTGCAAGGCCACTGTAAATTTCCTTATGTAAACAAATATTCATTGGGTAAGCATGAAACGTGTTTATCTAGTGAATGTGACACCCAACAGTTGATAGAAACGAATTCGGGCTTGTTACAAGGTCGGAATACTAAGTCAAACCTCCTGATTATCCTATACCTATACAATAAACAGGATTGCCATACAGTTCCGATTGAAACCACACAGGAGCAGGGAGCACAGCTTAAGCCTACTTAGACTCAAGCTTGACCAGAAGTGCCCTTAGCAGTTGCACAAGATCCTCCGTAGGCTCTTGATGCTGAGTCTTGGGTGATTCATGGTTCTTTTCAAAGTTGACGTCCAGTGCGCGATAGTTGAGGCTTTTGACTTTTCCAGATGCATCCAATTCGAAGATGAACTCATCGAGCGACTTATAGCCGTACCCTCGCCTATCCAGCGTCCCAAGTGTTGGACAGGTGCCTTGCTCCCAAATCAATCCAGATTCAATTGTCTCGATTTCTTCATCAGTCAGAGTGCTTGTGATGGATCTCCAGGCCTCCCGGCCCTTGGTCTTGAGATTGGAGGGGTACAGTCGAATGCGGGACGGCTTGCCAAAAGGATCCACCAACAAGTTCGTTCCTCGAACTGTGAGTTCAGTCAGGGACAGACCCGGGCCATGATCAAGTTCAATTCTCAAAGTCGAGTTGCTCGTAGGGTCCGAGTAAACACCGCCGTATCGAATCAGAGCGTCATCCTTAGCAGCTTGTTCCAAAGGAGGAACCATGCGTTCAATGAAGCGAGAGCCAAAATGCTGCAAGAGACTCTCTGTCGCTTCGTGAAGGGGGCCCGCTACGAGGATTGTCAAGACAAGGTCGTAGTCGGGCACAAGGATGAGAGCTGCCTGATAGCCGGGAAGGTGTCCTGACTTGTAGTTGGCGGGTATGATTCTTCCATCCCCAGTAATGTTCTTGGTACGCATGATTTCCCAGGAATAACCGACCATAACGCCGCTAGAATCAGTAAAGGCGACAGGGCTCAGCCACTTTCGTGTCTTTACGGGATCCAACAGCTTATACTCGAGAATCGCGTTTCCGAATGCCAGGAGATCCTTTGTGTTGGAATAGAAGCCTCCAGATCTTCGTCTGTTAGCATGAAAAGGTTGACTGAAGGAGGAATGGTAAAGTACATACGGATTCTCAAAGCCGAGGTCCAAGCCCCAGCTGGTATGATTCACAGCGATAGCGCCATAAGAGACATCAGGCGCAGTACCGGTTGTAGTGTTTGTCATGCCGAGAGGACCCAAGATATTCTGCTCGATGAAAGTGTCGTAGGGCGTCTTAGACACCACCTCAACAACAAGGCTTAGGAGGAATATTCCGATGTTCGAGTAGACAGGTGCAGTGCCTGGTGCAAAAACTGGATGTCGAACACCAAAGTCACGGAAGAAGTCGGCACGCGTGCATCGCGGTAGAGTCTCAGGATTCAAGCCTGTCACAGCACATGGTGGGAAAGACTTTTCATCCAGTGCCTGGAATGCTGGGCCAAGGTCAAAGGGAACCGCAGCGAGGTCGACAGCATCTGATCCTGATGTTAGTATGGGTGTGAATGTTGGGGCATGGCTCACTGACATTCGGCAGCGATCCCACTCATATGAGATGCTAGCATCCCAATCGTGATATGCTCCCAGTCAACAGTTGTGATGGCATCCGGGGCCTCGGCAACTCTGATGGATCGCAGCTCGGGTAGATACTTGATGACTGGATCTTCGAGGCTGACTCCAAGACGAAGAAGCGCGAGAACGGGGAATAGCTTAGAAACGCTAGACACACGGTAGACCGTTTCTTCATCGATAGCGGTCACCCCACTAGTGTTCAATCCACCGATAGGATAGATGTGGTGGGATATAAAGGGAGTCTCCTCGTGGAGGGACTTGGCAGCTACAGAAATAGCAGTGTTGGGATACCAAGTCTCGGACACGAGTTTGAGGGCCGCGAAAAGATCATCGATGGCCTCTTTGATATGCGGGCTAGTACTGGGAGATTTGGCGGCAGGAAGAACTGGTCCGGGTGGGGGACAGTACCACGCGTTGGTCAACGGAAGAGCAAGCCATGCTAGGCTTACACCTTGCAAAGCCACCTTATTAACCAACATGCTGATTATTGAGTAAATCGATGCTAATATCAGAGAACAATAAAGAAGATGAAAGGATGAAGAAATCGATGGTCTCAGGAGATTGGTGTCCATTTTGAGTACTTAACATTGTAGAGATGTCCAATGTGTTGAATAAACTTTTCGTTTGATTGGCCCGGACCTGGTAGTAGGTGCGAGAACAACAAAACTCCGAATTTTAGTGGCACGGCAGGGAAAGAGTCCATCAGTCCGGGGTTTAGTTTCAATGCTTGGCTCAAGGATTACCAGAGCACTGCGCATTATTGTTAGGATCAGCTTCTGTGAAATATAGTATCAGGCACAACTTTCAATGGCACTGTATCTTTCACGATCGTGCCAGGGTCGCTATATCCAAACATCTTTAGCATTACATTGCATTATCAACTCAAAGCAAAGAATTAGCACAATATGTCAGAGCTGGCACAAACTTCCAATCACGACAGTCGCGTTTTCCAAGATGTTATGTCGCAATTCCCGGCCCTTAACGGTCATACCCAATTGATCCTCGGTTTCAAACTTGCACCGGAAACACCCCGCGAAGCTGTCACAGACGCCCTCGAGGTGGCTCTCAGCAGCTTAACTCATCAGATTGACTGGCTCGATGGCCAGGTAGTTGAAAAGGATGGACTTCTTCTGTCAGTACCATGGCCAATGGATGGACCCAGGAACCAGATTCTTCGTCGCAAAGACTGTAATACTTTATTACCCACCATGGATGATCTCATTCGGAGAGGAGTGCCCATCGCAGAATTGGACGCAAGTATAGTCTCGCCGTTTCCGGGCTTGAACGCTGGTCACAGACTCGAGCCCCCGGTACCGATTGTCGCGTTGCAGGCCAACTTCATCAGCGGGGGGATGCTCCTCACCATGTGTTTCCATCATATTGTCATGGACGGCACGGCTGCGTTTCAGTTTATACGGCATCTGGCTTCTGCGCTAGAGGGAAAGCAAATTTCGCCCGCCGATCTCGTACAAGCAAATCGCGATAGACGATCAGTAGTCAGACTGCTTAGCCCCGGAGAGCCCATCAAAGACTATACGGATCTGCGCCGTCCACCTGGCTTCACTTATCCACCAGTCTTGTCGACGCCAGCCTGGTGCTACTTCAAGTTCCCCATTGCTGCACTGAAAGCATTGATGAAGATAGCACGGACGCAGCTGTCTACATCAAGTTCTCACAATGGTCGGCTGTCGGAGAACGATATCATATGCGCTTTTTGTTGGCAACGTATCAGCACAGTGAGGCTATCCATCCAAAGCCCGGGAACAGTATCCAAGTTCTCCAGGGCCATTGATGGTCGTCTTGCTGGAGGTATCCCCTTAGGCTACATGGGCCATATGGTTTACCACGCCAATCTTCGTCTTCCTCTACAACACATTGCGTCGTCAAATCTAGGAGATATCGCTTATAAATTAAGAAAAGCTCTTGATTCTTCCAACAACGAGTGGACTCTACGCAGCTACGCAACTTTTATTGCCCGGGAACCAGATAAGTCTCTTCTTCTCTACGGTGGAAAAACGAACCCAAATACGGACCTGGGAGCGACTTCCGCTCTTGCTGGCGACGATCTGCGTCCAAGTACTTTTGGCGCCCTGCTTGGGCCATCATGCTTTCTTAGGCGGCCAAAAACAACTCCGATTACAGGCTCCATTTCGATGAGTCCCGCGGAGGGAGACTATATTCCTTTTTGCCTTTGCCTGCCAAGTGTAGACCTGGAGCTTTTAAAACCAGACCCAGAATGGAAGAGATATATAAGAATTATCGGCTAATAGTTAAATTAAAAGAGTCTAATTATAGATATCTTTTAAAATATAGTATATAGAGTTAATTAATATTTTTATTTTTATTTTAAGTGCTTTTTATTTTAAGTATATATTTCAACCTTTAATATATTAATACTAAATAAAATAAATATAGTTTAATTATATAGTATTATAATAAACTCTTTAGTTTAAAAATTAAATTATATAATTATTAAGTCTTAAATTAAGGGAGTTTTTATTCTCTCTATGTTCTATTTAATTTATATCAGTTTACTTAGTATTAATACAGCGTAATTAATATTATTTAAAAGAATTCGGACATTTAAACTCCCCTGCCCATATCTAGTTATCCTAAGTTAATTATCCGTCATCTTATACGGCCAGGAATCTACTATGCTATCGATGAGAGGTTCATGGTTATATGCTCATAACTAGACCAGGTTTGGCGACTTTCACGTATACTATAGTGAACGAGAATTTATTATCCCAAGCAACCTTACCAATTCACGTATCTTTGTCAAACTTGATGAGCGAAATGGAAGAGGATCGTACACCGGAGCCAATCGCAATCATCGGTCTTAGCTGCAAATTTGCCGGCGAAGCCACAAATGCCGATAATTTATGGCAAATGATTGCTAACGGACGAGATGCTTGGTCTCAGATCCCATTGTCCAGATTCAACTGGGCGGGCTCTTTCCATCCTGATCACGAGAAATCTAGCACTGTATGTGTATCCCGTCAATTATTTTCATAGCTACAAAGGAGTTCAAGTTTAACTCTCTTAGATGCATGTGCGTGCTGGATACTTTATCAAAGAGGACCTTGGCAATTTCGACGCAGCCTTCTTCAACCTGTCAGCCGAAACTGCCTCTGTAAGCAATACTTGAAACGAGCTGTGAATGAGGAGAAACTGATGACGTGCGATTCTAGTCCATGGACCCTCAATTTCGACTCCAATTGGAGTCTGTGTATGAAGCCCTCGAGAATGGTAAGATGTCCCTTTTTCGTCTGGAAACAACCAATCTGACATGTCTCAAGCTGGGCAACCCATCGAAAGGATAGCAGGCTCGGACACGTCTGTATATATGGGAACATTTAATCACGACTATAGGGAGGGTATGATACGCGATGAAGATGACTTACCACGTTTCATGATCACTGGCACTGGCGCCGCCATGGCCTCAAACCGCGTCTCGCATTTCTTTGATCTGAGAGGGGCTAGCATGACGTTAGACACGGGTTGCTCGACGTCTCTAGTGGCATTGCATCAAGCTGTCAATGACTTACGATCTGGCAACTCGACCATGGCGATCGTTGGAAGTTCCAATCTGATGCTCAACCCTGATATGTTCAAGGCTCTCGGGTCTGTAGGGTATGTTACAGTGTTACTTGGAACGACCGTTTACTGACTAAGGACAGTGTTCTCTCTCCTGACGGGAAGTCCTTTTCGTTCGATTCAAGAGCGAATGGGTACGGACGAGGAGAGGGTGTGGCGACTGTCGTCATCAAGCGCTGGAAAGATGCTATCGCTGCCGGAGACCCTATCCGGGCAGTAATACGTGAGACTTGCCTAAACCAGGACGGCAAGACAGAAACTATCACCTCTCCAAGCTCTAGTGCACAAGAAGAATTGATTCGCAAGTACTACCAAAGCGCGCTGCTCGACCCACTCGAAACACAATACTTCGAGGCACATGGCACAGGTACTCCAACAGGAGATCCAATTGAGCTTCAGGCAGTTGCAACAATCTTCCAATCGCGTCAGAGCACAAAGCCATTGCACATTGGATCTATCAAGGCCAATATCGGACATACGGAGCCAGTCAGTGGCCTCGCCAGTCTCATCAAGGTGGTTATGGGGCTCGAGCATGGGGAAATTCCACCGTCCATCAACTTTGAGACACCGAACGCAAAGCTCAACTTGACGGAGTGGAATTTCGAAGTGCCACAGAAGTTGGAGCCGTGGATCCCGAATTCTGACGGGATAAGGCGTGCATCGATCAACAACTTTGGCTACGGTGGCACGAATGCCCATGTCATTGTTGAGATGGGACCTCGATGGACAGCTGATTCTGGCATTCACGCGACCAACGGAACCAGTCATGTCAACGGACACACCAACAGTACCGAGTTAACATCAAGATCTGACGACAAGCCGACTAGTCCAGGAAATATCACAAATCCCTCCCGGAACAAAACCAAGGTCCTTGTTCTCAGTGCAAGAGATGAACGAACGTGTCAGGATATGATCTCCAACTTGAAAGACTATCTCCGACGTCGAAATGACCATGAGAAACCTGATCAACTCCTTCAGAGCATGGTATACACTTTGGGCCACCGTCGCAGTATGATGCCTTGGGTTGCAGCATGTCCCATTTCCTACACGCGCGGTATCTCTACGGTCGTTGAGTCTCTGGAATCCTCTCAGTTTAAGCCCAAGCGAATCGTGAGAACTCCACGTATTGGAATGGTGTTTACAGGACAAGGAGCTCAGTGGTATGCAATGGGGAGAGAGCTGATTATCGCCTATCCTGTGTTCAGATCCTCCCTCGAGCTTGGAGATGCATACCTCAGAGAGCTTGGTGCAGACTGGTCATTGATGGATGAGCTCATGAGGGATGCTGCTGACACAAAGGTTTATGATACTGCTGTCAGTATTCCCATTTGTGCTGCACTGCAGATATCCTTGGTCAACTTACTCCAGAGCTGGGGTATCAAGCCAGCAGCGGTGACAAGTCACTCAAGTGGAGAGATCGCAGCTGCATATGCCGCTGGTGTTATCGACTACCGAGAATCCATGGCCATCGCTCATTACCGAAGTGTTTTGTCGGCCGATAAAGCTCTGAGAGGTTCTCTAAAGGGGGGCATGGTTGCGGTCGGAGTGGGACCTGACCATGCCTCGACCTATCTCAAAGAGCTGCGAAGCGATGGAAAGGCAAGTATCGCCTGTATCAACAGCCCCAAGAGTGTGACCGTTGCAGGAGATCTTTCAGCCGTCCTGGAAGTTGAGACTAGGGCTAAGGTTGATGGTGTGCTAGCGAGTCGACTCAATGTCGACATTGGCTACCATTCGCATCAGATGGAGGCCATCTCTCACAGATATAGAGATGCACTGAGTCGGGTAAAGCTTTTCAACTCTGCAAATAACCTCAAGTCCATCATATACGCTTCACCAGTCACTGGCGGCCGCATGACCGATCCCGAAGAAATTGCCAGTGCCGAACATTGGGTGGCAAGCTTAGTTCAGCCTGTCCAGTTTCTGGATGCCTTCACCGACATGGTTCTGGGTGGCTTCGACCCATCTGGCACCAGTGTTGATGTTGTAGTCGAGGTTGGACCCCATTCAGCCTTGAGAGGCCCTATCAGACAGATTCTTGAGCTTCCTGAGTTTGGGGGTCTTCAAATCCCTTACTACCCTTGTTTGATTCGCAAGAATGATGCTAGAGATACCATGCAGGCACTGGCGGCAAACCTGATTGGCGAGGGCCTAGAACTAGAACTAGGCTCTCTCAATTTCCCATATGGAAGAGAGAGTTTTGTCGAGGTGCTGACAGACCTTCCCTCCTACCCATGGAACCACCAAAAAAGGCATTGGGTTGAGCCACGCTTCAATAGAGCGCTGCGAGAAAGAGACCAGGAACCGCACAGTCTGATCGGCTCCCTTGTTCTAGGGACAGAGCGAGAGTCCCCTTCGTGGCGCCATGTCCTTCGTGTGTCCGAGTCGCCTTGGCTCCGTGATCACGTAGTCCAGTCCAATGTTCTTTATCCCGGGGCAGGCTTTATCTGCTTGGCTGTCGCAGGTGTAGCACAGATGGTTTCTATGCAGGTGATAAAGTCTGTGGATAAACTTGGAAAGGATCGACAAGTCTCTGGTTACAGACTGCGAGACGTTGAGATCCTCCGAGCCCTGCTAGTACCAGATATGCAACCTCTGGAGCTTCAGACGAAACTCAGTCCTGCGTCTGATAGAGAGATTGGCCTCAGAGGATGGTATCATTTTGAGATTCTCTCTGTCACTGGCGAGAACCGATGGAATCTGCATGCGAAGGGGTCTATCAAAGTCGAGTTTGCCGATGATACGATGCCGGGCGTAGGCGAACTCGAAGCGATATCCCCTTCAATTCCTAGCACAGCACGCCGAATCGCGCCCGATGATGTCTTTGCCACTTTCAGATCAGTCGGTATCGAGCATGGACCAGCATTCCAAAACTTCAAGACCATCCTCCAGTGCCAAACTGAACCACGATCCAAGGCCACAATAATCGTTGCCGACAACCCTGTCAGCAACACTATTATACACCCGACTACTCTCGATTCCATTGTTCAAGCGGCGTATACTGCTCTTCCCAAGGCTGGGTATTTTCAGGAGAGCCCGCGCGTGCCTCGCAGATTTAGGCACATTTGGATATCGAGTAATATCGGCTACGAGGCAGGACACGAATTCGAAGCTTGCTCAAGAGTCAACGATGCCGATTCCCAGAGCTTTGAAGCAGATATTCGCCTTTTCAATGCCCAAAAAGATCCGCATGACTCACAAACTTCTGTACTAGAGATACAAGGGCTGTTTCTCCAGTCTCTTGGTCAAGCCGTCGGTACCACAAATAAACGGCCATGGGAGAACGAAGTTTGTAACAGTGTTGAGTGGGACATTGACATGACAGTCGCTAATCCCAAGACACTCGAGAAGATTCGAAAGGAGCTTACACATTCGGATCCTGGAGAGAGTCTCACGAAAGAGCTACGGCCCATTTGTCTTTACTATATTCATGAAGCACTTACTGACCTCTCTCCCTCTGATGTTTCGAATCTTAGTGGACACTTGGCTAAGTTCTACGGTTGGATGCATGATCAGGTCAAGCTGGGTCCATCTGAATCTGAATCTGACAACACGGATGAGACCCTTGATCTAAGATCCCTAAGCCCTGGAATGCGACTTGTTCTTATTAGCCAAGCCATCACGAAGAGCGTGGCAGGTGAGATGATTTGTCGTCTCGGCCCGCATCTAGCGAATATTTTGCGAGGGAAGACGACGCCTCTGGAACTAATGGCTCAAAACAATCTTCTCTCGAGATACTACGAGGAACTACCTGGCCTCAAACGCTGTTTCAGCCAACTATCCGAGCTGCTCCGCAAGATCGTTCACAAGAACCCCAGAGCTCGAATCCTTGAAATAGGTGCTGGTACAGGCAGTGTCACTCGCCATGCGCTCGAGGTACTCGGAACCCGAGATTCCAGGGGTCCGCTAGCCGAGCTATACCACTATACGGATATCTCCATGGGTTTCTTCGAGGCTGCTAGAGAGGAGTTCTTGGGGTGGAGCGATATACTAGCATTTGACAAACTAGACATCGAGCAGGAACCTGCAGAACAAGGTTTCAAGCTTGGTTCTTACGATATCGTGATTGCATGCCAAGTTCTTCATGCAACAAAGTCCATCTCTCGCACAATGGCTAATGTTCGAAGCCTCATGAAGCCCAGCAGCTCTCTGTTGCTCATTGAAACAACGCAGGACCAGATTGACATTCAGTTCATCTTTGGCCTGCTCCCCGGATGGTGGCTTAGCCAAGAGCCTACACGTCAGAATAGTCCGTCCCTCAGTATCCCGTCCTGGGATAGCGCACTAAGGACTGCAGGCTTCACAGGGGTTGATATGGTCGTGAACGAAAGCGAAGATGCTTCTGAGTATGCGTTTAGCACTATCATGTCTCATGCGAAAGCGGACGTAGATAGCTCGGTCGGGATTCGGTCAGAAGACATTGTTCTAGTTACGACTTCAAAATCAGTTCCTCCGCGAGATTGGATAGTATCTCTGGCAAGATCTATCGGAGAAAAAGATGACTGTCTTCCTGTCCAGCTCCTCGACGCCCCGGATGTCACTGATTCCACCTACAGAGGCAAGATATGCGTCTTTTTGGCCGAGGTGGAGGACAACGTACTCTTTGACCTCAACTTGACCTTGTTAGAAGGGCTGAAACTCGTGGTAGCGAATTGTCGTGGTCTTCTTTGGGTAACAATTGGGGGAGCTATCAAGTGTGAGATTCCTTGCTCGGCATTGGCTACAGGCTTTGTCCGTTCTTTGCGCAATGAGTATGTTGGTCGACGAATCATGACTTTGGACTTGGATCCATCTCCAACAACATGGTCATCTGCTGCCTCTGACGCCATCTCGCGTGTTCTCGAGCATTCTTTCAGAGACACGGATGATAGCAACATGTTCGACGGCTCTGCAATGGATTTCGAGTTCGCGGAACGAGACGAGGCTATTATGGTCCCACGATATTACAAGGACACGATTCGGAATGAACTCGTCATGCCACAGCAAAGCCACCATTCACCTGACAATGCTATGCCTGAGTTCTTCCATCAGGAGCATCCTGTTCACCTCCATGTTGGCACCCGAGGTCTCTTGGACACATTGACATTTGTTCATGATGAAGTGGTCACGACTGCTGATGAAAGTCAGATGTTGGAGAGCTTTGTCGAAATCGAGGTTCGCGCTTATGGTCTGAACTTCCGAGATGTCATGGTTGCTATGGGTCAGCTAGAAGACAAGATCATGGGTATCGAGTGTGCCGGCGTCATAACCAAAGTCGGCGCTGTGGCCGCTCTCCATGGGCACTTTGTAGGCGAGAGTGTTTTTGCCCTTCTCCGCGGGCCCTTTGCAAGTCGCGTACGAACCGAACTATGGAACGCCGTTTCTATACCTGATGGCACGACCTTTGAAGAAGCAGCATCTATGCCTATGGTATTTACCACTGCGTATGTGGCTTTGTTCGACGTTGCTCATATCCAGCGAGGTCAATCTGTTCTAATCCACGCCGCAGCGGGTGGCGTTGGCCAAGCAGCTATCCAGCTGGCGCAGCATCTCGGAGCCGATATCTACGTCACCGTAGGCTCTCCTAAGAAGAAGCAGCTGATACAGCAAAGATATGGAATTCCAGATCACCACATCTTCAACAGCCGCGATACATCCTTTGCCTCGGGGATCCGCGAGATAACCGGGGGTCGCGGTGTTGATCTAGTTCTTAACTCTCTTGCGGGTCCTTTGTTGCAAGAAAGCTTTGGCCTTGTAGCTCCATTTGGGCACTTTGTCGAGATTGGAAGACGAGACCTTGAGCAAAACAGTTTCTTGGAGATGCGCCCATTTATCCGCCATATCTCTTTCTCGTCACTGGATGTACTGCACATGACAAGAGGGAAAGGTCCAGAAGTAGGTCGAATCCTCACCGAGATTGCGCGTCTGAAACAACGGAACGTGATCGCGCCTGTCGATCCCTTGACCAGTTACCCAATATCGGACATTACCAAAGCATTCCGTCTCATGCAGACAGGACAACACACAGGCAAGATTATAGTATCAACAGGTCCTCTCCAGAAGGTTGAAGTTCAGCCCTACCCCAAGGATGTAAAGCTCTCGCCAGATGCGTCGTATCTATTGGTTGGTGGCTTGGGGGGCATCGGGCGGTGTTTAGCGAGCTGGCTTGTCAATCTTGGGGCCAAGCAGATCATTCTCATGTCACGAAGTGCTGGGACGAAAGAAGAGGATGCGGTCTTCATACGTGACTTGGCCGAGACTGGATGCAAAATTGAGTGCATCAGCTGCGATGTCGCCAGGAGCCATGATCTTGAGAGGGCGTTGCAGCTTTGTACAGCTAAGGGGCTTCCGCCTATTCGAGGTGTTATTCACGCAGCCATGGTGCTTCAAGTAGGTGTCACTCTTAATACTTTGTTTATCAGTGCTGACGCCTTTCAGGACTCTATTCTAGAGCAAATGACAATCGAGAATTTCAGGGCGGCTGTCGTGCCAAAGGTTCATGGGTCCTGGAATCTGCATACTAAATTCCGGAACGTTGACTTCTTCATTATGTTATCGTCCATCAATGGCATCGTCGGCTACGCCAGCCAGTCCAACTACTCAGCCGGAGGGTCCTATCAAGATGCACTAGCCCAATGGCGTGTTACAATTGGCCTGCCTGCCGTTTCTCTCGATCTCTGCGCCGTAAAGACAGTGGGCTACGTGGCTGAGACGGCTGGCGTGGCAGTCCGCATGCAAAGAGCAGGCCACATGCTACTGAGAGAAGACCAACTCCTCGGGTTATTAGAGTCCGCCATTCTGCACCCGTTTACTCCTCACATCGTCGCGGGGCTCAATACAGGACCTGGAACCCACTGGAATCGTGATGGAGAGTCACAACTCGGCCGCGATGCACGGTTCAGCGTCCTGCAATATCGGCCGCCTTGGGAACAAGGAGCAAGAGATGGAGACCTGGCTAACAAAAACTCCCTTGCTGCTAGTCTCGCCGAGGCGACTTCGCGGGTGGATGCTGAAGCTATCGTTTTCGAGGCGATTGCACAGAAGTTAAGCTCCATCTTCGTCATAGCTGTTGGAGAGATAGAGCTCAGTAAACATCCATCTCATTATGGTGTCGACTCACTGGTTGCAGTAGAGTTGCGAAATATGATCTCGCTTCAGGCAGCAGCTGATGTTTCCATCTTTACCATTTTGCAGAGTCAGTCACTACGAGCGTTGGCTAGCGAGATTGTGGATAAGAGTCGATATACCGAGGTTATTTAAGTTACATATATTATCACTGCTGAATATAACAACTATGCTTGGTTATCTAAAAGTCAAGATGTCTCCGTATCAACATATAGAATAAAGTTTAGACTCTCAAGTTAGATAAAGCCCAAAGAATTGCTTTTCTTTTCTATTAAATATCTCGCAAACATGGCTTGATTGGGTATAGAAGTGGCTCCAGCATCTTTGTTAGTTACTCATGGCCGAGAACTCAAATACGCACTAAGAAGTTAGTAGCTCAGGCATACCCGGCTGTCTCACGACATTAGCCAATAGAGAAATAGTAGTCAAGGTATGTGGTCAGACAGTCCCATGGAGTGTCGGCAATCAATTACAAATTGCTATAGATAGTATTTCCTGCAGTAGTCTAAATTGCTAACTGTGGTCTGGACCCTGCTATCCCTGCCAGTTGTCAAGTGCCGCGGACCTCATTGCCGATCTTGGGGCAGAAACCGGTCTGTAAGAAATTTCCTATAGTGCTTTGACTGACCCGCAACCGAGATGCTGTCGATCTCTCGTTTAGTGAGTTTGAATGTGCGCAGATCCTTGCATAACGCTTTCAACCTGTGACCTTTGCGAGTGGTAGTGATAGCTGTTATGTTTTGATCCAGACACCATCTCAATGCTATAACTGTCTCCGACACGTCATATTTACGAGCCAATTGGGTGTAGAGCTCGTTGACTGGACCTGTAGCGTCTTCGGTCAGCGCCGTGAGGGTAGAGTATGCTGAGATTGCGATATTCTGCGACTTGAGGAAATTAATTAGAGGACCACGCTGAAGATAAGGATGGTACTCGATCGAGTTGACAGCAGGGGGGATTTGTGCCGTCTCCAAGATGATCTCGATGTGTTCTTGCAGAAAGTTTGATACACCGATTGACTTAGACCTTCCGGATATTTTGATCTCTTCCATTTGAGACCAAACGTGCTGCAGATAATTCGCATTGTCTGCCATGTAAGGTGCATGCACCAAGTAGAGGTCCACGTAGTCAAGGCCCAGCCTACTCAGAGAACCTTCAAACTCTGCCATGACATCCCTTTTCTCAGTACCGCATAGTTTTGTAACTATGAAAAGGTCTGATCGAGGAATCGGAGAAGCTCGCACAGCATCGCCAAGTTCTTTCTCATTATTATACACTGTCGAGTAGTGAATATACAGATGAGAAAAAACTAGCTCCTACTATAATGACTCACGTTCAGCGCCATCGAGGTGGCGAAATCCATGTTCAGTTGCGAGTTTTGTCATTGTGACAATGGCTTCGTTCTTCTGGTCTCGAGATCTTTTGTGTAATACCGTTCCTAAACCATATCCCAGCTGATGATGGGTCAGGTCCTAACCAGTCGTGAAAGGGTAGTCAGAACTCACCATTGGCATATTGTTTCCATCATTAAGCTTCAGTACGGCTTCGCCGGCCTTTGGCATGTCTCCAAGAGCCGCTAGTTCGCTACTTGACATCTTGTACGGCTCCATCGGCAATCTCCGTCGACGGGAACGAGTCGTAAGATGTTACGACTGGATAAGCATATGGCAAGAGCTAAGAAATTATTGGAAGTGATCTATAGCACTACGGATGTTGAGCCTGATGCAGTAGTTGGAATGCAACAAGCCTCTTCCTTATCTACTAGGCAACGGCTTTTTGTCTACTCCGCCAATTTTGGTATCAATGATACCATGGTTTTTCGGACTATCTTCACCTACTACTGCGAAGTAATTTACTCCGGGCGTATCAGAAGAGTCTGGGTGACAAGATTTGACTTTTTGGATCAGGCATTTCGGCCCGTGTTAGCCGCTCTTGTGACTGCTCCAGGCCGCTCAGGCCTCAATTACCTGCTAGCTGCAAGCGCGTTTGCTTACTCAGCCGAGCCCGAGCGTATGCCAACAACTGCCGGGCTGGTACGATGAGACTACGACGAGGATACATCACAGAGTTTAAGCTTATGCACGAAACCCCGTCTTTGGTGGCGAGAAGTTCAACAGGATCCAAGGACCTTTGGGTGCTTATGATAACAACCTCGGTTCAATTTGTGAGTCTAAACGTATTTATACCATCAACTATTCCGACCTTTAAAGGAGGCTTTTTTGTGCATACATCGTCGAAATGGATACTAATTGCAGACAACAAGCTGGGCTTGCGTGCGAGGAATGCCGAAGGCGAAAGTCAAAATGTGATCGTGGTCGTCCAGTCTGTGGAGGTTGTCTCGAATCAGGAGCTGAATGTGTTTTTGTGGAACAAAGGCCAAAACGAGGGCCCAAAAAGGGACAACTAAGGGAGTTGAAGTCCCGGATCGGTATGGGTCCCTTCACTTGTCTGAAGTCAACTTGAGTTTCTGACATAATAGGGCACAGCCATGCTGGAGCAACAATTGGCCAGCCAGTCAGAAATCGAGGTTGCAGATATTACCTACTCTCATTCTCATAGCCATAGCACTAGTACCGAGGCAGCATCAGCCACTCCGTTGGAAGAGATGGAATGGACAATGCAGTTCGATCTGTCACAGTCAGCCTGGATTGAACATCTAGAAGTTATATCGGATCCTAATTTAGACCCTAGTTTGGACCCCAACTGGCCGGACTATACTTTAGTCTCACAAGATGTCGAAGCAGCACCTCAAAAGATCCAAACATCAGATGACTTATCAACAACCAAGGACTTACCTCCGTTGATTCAGTTTGACTTGTAAGTTCAAAACCTTGGCAAAGGTCTTCTTATTGAAGAAATTCTGGAAACTGACATAAGAGCTCTGTTTCATCGATGAAGAGATCAGCTATATTTTGATAGGGTGCACCCACTGTTTCCCATGGTCCACAAGCGACGATATTTGTCATGGACTAAGCTGAAAGATCCTTATCCAGCTCGCCAATGTTTGAGAATGGCTATGAGAGCCCTTGCCGCGTCTATGTCATCCCAATTCAGGTCTCGTGGCGAGGACTTGTATCTCAAAGCAAGACAGATGGCCGAGGATCTTGAGGCCAGCGAATTGGGTCTGCCTTGGACAGATGCCACTATCAGTATTGAGCAGACGCAGGCATGGCTTCTTCTTGCTCATTATGAGCTTTTGGCACCTCACATATATCCAGTACTAGCAACAGCGCGGCGTGCATTTCGCTTGGTGTATCTCTCGCGGCTACATTGCTGTGATCAGCAAGAGCAGTCTACAGGTAGTAGCTCAAACTCCTCACAAGCCTCAGCAACAACTCGAGTGGACTTCCCAACCGTCGAGGAGAAAAGAAGGACGTTTTGGGTTGCTTTCTGCCTAGACCGGTGCTTGATCGCATGCGGAGAATCTGTACCAGCCATTCAGGACGAAATTGTTAGTTTGAGCTCCTTCTTTGCCAACTTTCTATCTCAAATGCTCATTTCGGTAGATCTCAGTTCGTCTTCCATGTCCAGAAAAGAACTTTCAGAACAGAGATGAGGTCAAGATGGGCTTCGCAGACGAGGCACTCAAGTACACAAAGCTGGACGCGACGTCGCGTTTCGCCGAATTTGTCACAAGTACAGCTCTCTTTGGACGCTGCATTATGCAGAAGCACCTACCGAAAAGCGGGCCGTCGTTAGAAAAAGAAACCGCGTCTTTCTGGAAAAGGCACGATTGGCTGGCATCAGCTGCAAAGAGACAGGTTGACCTATTATCCATCAATGCAACGGATTTGGATGACGAACCAATGGCCATCGTGACTTTGATGGTAATGTACGGTTCCATTATAGCCCTGGCAAAGGCGAGCAAGGAAATGCCTCGTCAGACACAGGAAGAGAAGTTAGCTTCAGAGGCATATAATGAGTCTGCCAACGAGGCTGCAGCTAAAATGGCCGATGTATCTAATGTCATTACAACCTCTGCTTGCTTCAAGGTAATCGTCTCACTTCATCCTCTCTACAAGCCAAGCTGTTGTTAATTAACTCAGGCGCACCCATACCTCCCTTTATTGCTCACTTTGGCTATCTCTTATCTCACTGTCAACCTGAATTCTGGTAAAAATCTTTCATTGTGCGGCCAAACAGAATCTGCCAGGACTCAGTTGAGTGGAGCCTTGGAGAGTTTTCTAGAGATTCACAGTCAGGCGAAACAATTTGTAGAAAGGCTTACAGGAAAATAGATAAAATACTAATAAGCAGTCAATCCTTAATTATATAGACGCAGAGTTACAATAATTAAATTAGATACAGTTTATACTTTCATAAAGATATAAAATCTCACTTCAAGACATAATAACTTTACTCTGTTGAGTTAGAGCTCTAGCAAGATATACAGCAAGTTCCTCACGTCTAAAAGTCACTTATTATGTAATACTTTTATTAATATACTAAGAGAAGTTAGTAGGTTAGCTGGCATTACTACAAAGGTCGACCTCAAGCTGAATTTAAAGTGTCAGGAGTGAATGGTGATGTTATTAGCTACCAGCGCGTGGTATAGGGTGTATCTCTCTTCCTTCTATCTAACTTTAAAGAGGTGATGGTAACATAAGCTAGAATCTTTGAGCTGTCAACATGTACATTTTCATCTTCTCAGCTTGTCCCGATTTCCAAGGAACTGGGGTGGTTGTGACAGTGTACCCTTTTGCCTCCAGAAATTTCTCCATAACTTCAAGTTGTCCATCAGGACTCCACAACTCCATGACGATATTCTTAACTGACAACAAGTGGTCTTCATCAAGCCCCTCGATGACATCTAACTCCCCCCCTTCGATATCGATCTTCAGTAGATCGACCTTCGTGATATCGTTCCGATTTCTTAGGAATTCGGAAAGCCTTCTGACGGGAACAGGTGCTTGTCGTGCATTCTCTCTCATTTTATCTGCAACTTCATTGCTGACTTTGTCGGCTATAAGATCCAACCATTCTTTCCCTCCATCGCTGCAAATTGTTGAGTTGGTTGGTGTATTAGGGAAAAAGGTCAACATCTTCGTTTCGTTCTTGGATCCAAGAGCACATTCGTGAAGTTCTACACCTGATAGTCTGTGTAGTGATATGTTCTGGTTAAAGATGGAGCCGCTTTCTCTGGCGGGCTCAAAAGCCAGCACTTGTGCCTCTGGATAGTTTTTCTTCGCAAAAAGAGTATACAACCCAATGTTAGCGCCCGCATCGATGATGACAGGCTTTTCAGACAGTTTTACTGTATCATAACATCGCTGAGTGAAAATCTCGTCAAAGATCCAACGAGCTTCCTCTTTCCCTTGGTGGTAAAACGAAATACCTTCTGGGGTATCGAGAAATTGAAGTGGGGTCGTCATTGTGTTTAGATGTTGAGTAAATGAAAATAATCTAAGACCTTATTGTGCCGAATACAGGGTAGAGATTTAGACCTATAGTGAGAATTTTATAAGAGCTGATAACAGCTATGAGAGCATCTATAATACATCCACCTGGTTTAAAAAGGCCATATTCTTATTACTTGGCTCTTTTAAAAGTTAAAGAGAACAATTTATTAGTCGGGGAATATAAAGTCCGATTAATGGCACCTAGTATAAATATACATGCAATTTATACACAATTAGTCCGATAGGTTTAAATTAGTCCGATATATTTGTTGTACTCTGTAATGTTTGCTATGTAGACAAGCAAAACAAGTCTTCTCTTTATTGGCTATTATTTGTTATCTGTAAACGATGGACCGCGGCTCTGTAAAGCAGAGTCGAGGAAATTGATAAATGGTTCGCATGTTTTCTGTAGACAGTGTTACGTAAGGCTAACCTAATCTAGTCTAGCCTGGCTTGTTCTCGTTCAACTTCGTTTAGTTAAACTCTGGTTAGTTTACCGTACCAACCCACGGAATGGAGTAGCGCCGGTGGATCCAAGCTACTGAAATCATTTGACCAATAGTTGTCCTCGGATATAGGCATCTTATGCGACTATGCCCGGTTGATAAAGACTGGCAACTGACCCGTCTCTACTCCGTACTCTACAGACATCCCGCTTTTGTCCCTCCAAGCACGATTTACAATTTCTGTTAAGCCCTTTCTCTCGTGATAATTTGCTTACATCTATGTTGAAGACAGCGCAAATGAACATTTCCGACTCTTATCGACCGTTTCCAGGAATACTTAGCTGCACATCCCGGATACCTTGCTTGCCTCCTATGGTATAATGATATCTTCATGAAATCACGTCTTCATAATTAATGTAAGCGGGTAACGATGCTGCGATTCGGTTACTATAAGCCCTGTAAGGTCGCCATCTTTCTAATTTATTATTTCAGCCAGTTATTATTGCCAGGCTTGCAAATAAATAAATTAGATCTAAATCTATTTAAATTAAATTAAATATATCTAAATTAAATTAAATTAAATAGGCTATAATACTATTTAGATTAAATTAAATTATAATAAGTAAATCTATTTAAATATCTGGCTATTTAGATAAGCCTTATTGCAATTAATCTGGCCTAATTACTGTTAGCTATTAGGTCCCTAATTGCATTATATAAGTATAAGATTATATAAAATTCTATTTTTTTACTGTTTTGTGATATACTATATACTAGGTTAATTAAGTCTTATAATTAGCATGCCGCATTACTCTATAAGTAGCCTAGTCTAAGAATATTATAAAAGTCACTAGCAAATTTATAAGTCTATAATAGCCTTTATTATATATTTAATATATTTTAATACGTAAATGCTAATTAGATATTAAGGAATCTCTTTAATGCTTTTTCTATTAATTTTAGCCTACTTAATAGCTCTGACTTTAGTTTATTAGAGGCTAAAGGAAGTATATTAAATAATATATCCTTTTTAGTTAATTATGCCGGTTATGAGGGTATTAACTGGAATTGCCTCTTAGGGTATTCTATTTATAAATATTTAAGGCAATTGCAGATAGGGTGGGTTTAGGAATACGGATTTGATATTAAAAAAGAAGGTTCTAGTTATCGATTTTCGCTTTATAGAATGTATTATTAGAGGAAAGCTATAATTACTTATATATATAATGCTATATCTATAAGCTAAGTAAATAGTTATATAAAAGAGGTCTACTATATTAATAAAGATAGATCTATATTACTGTAAATAAAGAAGTAATGCACTCTTTTTAATATAGTTAACCTAAATCCCTACTAACTAAAAGAGTAAGCCTTAATAAATATATTTATAGCATTATTTAAACCTGCCTGCTTTTAGCACTTACTTATATATTAGGTGGTATATAATAATATTCTATTTTATAAACTTAAGAGCCTATACTTTTGCAATCTTATAGCGTATATAAATAGTGCTATTATAGATTTAGGAAGTATATCTACCTATAGTATAATTTACAAATAGGTTATTTAGACCTTTAGTTATTATAAAGGCATTATAATAGAATTACTTAATCATTCTCTTAGCTATATTAATATCTCCTTTAATATATAGTTATCTTATAAATTTACCTCTCTATTTGGCCTTACTATACACTTTCTTAATAATAAGGGAAAGTTCTATATATTTCTCTTAAGCTTGCTATACATTAAAGGTCGCTATAGTGGCAAAAACCTTACTAATTGCATTAGCAAAATACTTTATAAATACAGGATTAAGAAGTATATTAGGTACTTTATTATAGATAATGCAAGAAGTAATAATATATATCTTAAAGATTTAGGTATTAAGTTAGGTTTTAAGAAGTAATATTACTGGCTTTATTATTATAGTTATATTATTAATCTTATTGCTAGATCTATTTTTTTTAATATAGATATTAATGCCTTTAAAGAAGACTGTTAGGCAGATAAGGAAATCTAAAATAAGGTTTAACTATAGAGATTAAAAGGACCTTTAGGTAAACTATATAATATTATTTATTAGATATAAAGATCTAGATAGTATATTAAGAAGCTTTATAAGCTTTAATCTATTAAGAATACTGCCTTAAGCCTTAAGGATAAAATAATATATAATATTATTACTAATAATACTACTTACTAGAACTTATTTAAAGCTATAATAGAATAGGGCTATTTACTTTAAAATGCACTTAATTTTTTAATTTAAGTAGAGATTATAGAATAGAATTAATATATAGTAAGAAGGATATAGAATAAGGTAAAACCAATACCTAAAAAGAGCTATAAGAAGCCTACAATTATTAACGATAAGATAGCTGCTAAAGATTAATAAGTAATTATAGAATACCTAGCTATCTTAAAACTATTAAAGATTGCTATTAAATATCTAAAAGGCTGGCCTTAAGAAGGTAAATTTAGCATAATATAAGAGGTTCTGCTAATAATAGAGTGGCTCTTAAAGTATCTAAAGGAGGCTAAGTTATAATATAAATAAGATAAGGAACTATACTTATAGATTGGCTGTAATCTTAGCTAGATAAAACTAAATAAGTATTACTCTCTTATTAAGGATAGTCTTATATATCTTACGGTATTTATACTTTATCTTACGTTTTACTGGTTAACTGTTAAGTTATAGTAGGCTAACTATTTAAATTAGCTAGCTAGAGGAAAGATAGCAGTATAAGAGCTGTAGGAAGAATACTGCAATCTCTCTATTAAGTAGGATATGCTACTAAAGTAGCTAATTATAGCAAGAAAGATAATAGATTTAGATAACTTTATAGCCTTAATTAGGAGGCTTAGTATCTAGCCTATGCCTTTACTGTCTGCTATATACAATAAGTATATAAAGTAGGTAACTATAGCTAATTTAGGTAATTATTTAGTAGATAACCTAATTTAATACTGGCTTTTCTAAAAATGCCAGTACCCTTACCTATTATAAATAGCTATTAATCTTTTTTCTATTCTGGCTATATTATCTGAGCTAAAGTGAATCTTTAGCCTTATAGGGCAAATAGTAATAGCTTAAAGAGGATATCTTAAAGTAGATTTTATAGAAGCTACTTAATATATTTTATTTTAAGAGAAAAGTAAGGTTATCTAAATATCTAAATAGAATCTAAATTAATATAAATTAAATTAAATTAAATTAAATTGCCAATTTTAATATCTAAATTACATTAGATTAGACTTTCGATTTGATTTGATTTATTTGTTTGTAAGCCTGATTGTTGCCGTTGATTCCTATGTAGGCAGGAGCCCATTTGATCTCGATATTGAGGCATGGTAACCTAAGGTCATGTACCCGAGGCGCGGTCTTCTTTAAGCAGGTCCATAGGTTCTTGGCCTCCAGACCTAGCCGTGGAAAACTAGCGACATAGCTATTAATAGGAATCACAACTTTTTTTCCTTAGAAATTGTGGCTACACTTATGCTGCCTTTTATATCTTGTAGTCATCAGCGAGATGTAGCTTAAGATGGATAAGTTTCTCCCCGTCATTACCATGAATCAATGGGGAAGGGTTACGGTTAATGTGAATGAGCTCACCCTAATTGTCTGCTGCTACTCTCACCCTCAAGTCGTATTCAAGTTTAAGCTAGCTCATCTAACTTATTTCCAGGCCCTCTCGGACAACCTCCGTCATCCTGACATGCATTTTTGGCTTCTCATGGAGAAAGTAAACCTTTTGCACGATCCAGTCTTTGCTTTCTGGCAAAAGTTCGAGATCAAACTTCCAAAGCAGTCGGGTCAATAACAGTCGCATTTCAGCATAGGCAAAGCTTATTCGCAATTAGCTGGCCAAGTTAAACTTCGCCCAGACCATCTTGACTAACCTTTTGCCAATGCAATCTCGAGGCCCGGCAGAGAACGGTTGGAGCACATCCCTATTATCGCTGGCATATTTCTCGAGGCCTAACCAGCGTTCTGGGATAAACTTTCGCGGGTCTTTGAAGTTGTAAGCCGATAAGTATGCAGGCTGATGAGGGACAGAAACTGAAGTCTAAAGCCAAAGCTGTTAGTTTCCGTCTTGAAATACTGAAGAGTGACTCCAATCTGACTTACATTTTCAGGGATCCAATATCCTTCAATACTCTTGCCACCAGATGGTGTGATCCTTGCAAGACCGCTAGCAGATGGTGGGTCTGATTGAAAAATTAATACGGAGCTTTTACGGCATTCCGAAGCTGTAGAACCTTTCCCGATGTGACTTACATATGCGAAGACCTTCATTGAGAACAGCCAGCAGATACTGAAGCTGATTTATTCGAGGCAGAGTGATCTCGTCCTCGGATCTGAATGTAGAGCGAATCTCATCAACTAGCCTCTTATACTTATCAGGATTTGTTAATAAATAGTACGTTGTGCCGCTCAGTAGCGTGGCTGTTGTTTCGCCGCCAGCAGCAATAAGCAGGCTTGCATTTTCAAGGATTTCCGCTTTTGACATTCCCTTCCCATCGTCATGACGAAGAATACAAGACATGATATCCGGACTTTTGGTACCTCCGATACTCAAACGAGTTGATGCCGCACGGTCAACAAATTGCAAGTCATTCTTCAAGGTTTGGTCCTGCTGTGTTGGGATCAACCAATGGATCCATTGAACGAATCCTAAACGAGCGATGACCGTCATAAAAGAAAATGCCTTAATACTTGAAAGGAGAAGTGTAATCTATGGGTGATAATGGCCGGTATCAAGGCATCCGAATGGTTGACCAAGGAAGAGATGGCCCATTACATCAAAGGTAACGTAATTGAACCACGCCACCATGTCAACATCAGTACCTGCCCTCCGACCAAGCTGTAAAATAAATTTATCAGCATATTGGTTTAAGATACTCTCATAATCGCGGAGGGCCTTTGTCGAAAATGCATATGCCAGATGGCGACGTATGCGCTTATGATCTTCATGGCCAGCAGTTACAATGTCCTTAACTGGGTGGCCCTGCCTATACATTCGCAAATCCTTATCAAAGGGTGCGAATCCGCTTGCCTTAGAGCCGTAAATAATTTTAACAGCATCGGCAGTGATGAAAGAGATATCGTTAGGGGCGAATCTAACGACAGGACCGTATTGATCATGTAGCTTGTTTAGCTTATCCAACCAGCTACCTTGGGTAAGATGGTAGAAGTAGGGAGTTTGAGTAATAGTGTATAGTTTTGGGCCAGGGACTTTGGCAAGTGGGTGGATATAGGCGTAGTATATTGCTGTAATGAGAAGATAAAGGACCTAGACAGGCGTAAGGGATAGTGTGATAATAAACTAAGCCAGGACATACCAAGATTTCCAGTAAGAAGGCTAGTTTGTTATTGAAAGCAAGTATAAAGACGGGTTCAATCTGGGATATATCCATTTTGACGGAAATCTAGTCGCCTTACAAAGAAGAAGAAAGGTTTATTTATAAATTACTCGAGATGTTAACCTCCAAAAGATAAAACGATTTAATTAAACACCTTTCTCTCTTAATACACTTATAAATGCCAACAGTACTTCAAGTTCTAAAGAACCTTTACTATCTTTTACGATATAATATAATAATCTTCAGTCTCTTAGGATCTTTTCTCCATCGTTGCATAGTATCGGAGTATCAATAAAAGTCTAAACTATTACACGGTAGGCTATATTACCTCCAAGCTCTCCCTCCTGTCAAGGCGATCTTGAGGCGGGAGAAATAATCTCCGATACATTTGTACTCTTTGTACTACGGGCTCTGATACAATGCATATAGGATACTCTCTATTTACTTCTCCTGCCACGCTGACCTGAAAGGGTGTTAGATCTCGTAGAATTCGAAACAATCATAGGAGGCCACCTCCCTGTGTAAGGTAATGTACTCGGAATGTAATTCCCAAAGCGGCCTGCCAGTCTTCAGCACCTTTGTGGTCAGCAAGGTCGAACGTCCATTTGGTTACGCCGTGAGTCTCGCTCATTACACCGCACGATCCGCTTTGTCGGGCGTCACTGGTATCCTACTTGGCTAGCTTTTACTCATACGTATTGCACATTATGTCAACGCCTGGCCTATCGAGGCTGCAATAGCATTGCATAGCCTCGCCAAGCGCGCAACAAGGTTGGCTCATGCATTATGTGCTATGAGGGCAATATTCTTGTCTCGACACCATGCAACGACTTTGCTCATAAAGCCAGAAACAAAGCGAACACGTATATAGTCATGAAGGTGGTATCTTGCAGAACGGTACAGCTTAAGTCCCTAAATATTGACGCTGGTGTTGAGGTGCTGGAACAGCTTGAATATCCTATATTGTCCGCTGTCATCAATTGAATTCGTCGTAGCCATGTTGCCTATAGAAGCATTGGCAATGGTCGTAGCCCGAAACAAAAACAGGTCTCCATTGCCCATTAAATTCACGAGTCTTGATTTAACACCGAATTGAAGCTCACCTGTAAGGATTGGGGAGACTGTAGGGCCCAAATGAGGCCCTGCAGTTTTGTCGTCATTTGGCCACGTAAAAGATGTCGCCTAGGATCAGTTGTCTTTAACAGCAAAGGAGGAATGGCTGGTCTTTTTTTTTCGAGACACAAACAAAATGCAACGTTTAATGACGGATATGAGTACGCGACGCGATTGAACTGCGCCAGGGCTATGTTGTCCTTGTCCTCATTTGGGGAAATTGCAGTGGCCCCACTCAAGTTCCGAGCTAGGCGGCCTTCGGGGGGGGAGAACATAAGGCAGAAGAAGAAAATGCTAAAATGAACTTAGAAAAGGATCTTTTAAACTTAGGCAAAGTTACCCAAGTTTTTGTATAACTTAAAATTATAGGCCTAGGTTTTCTTTTTTCCTCCTAGACGGGGAAATAGTGAGATGTTTAGTGGCGCTACATGGCCCAGGAACGGGAATAATGCGCTCTTACCCACTTACCCTACACTTCTTAGTTGGGCTGAAGAAGTTTATGTGGTTTATATAAAAATTAAGAATGCACTGTGTTAAGGCACTATAAGACTCTTTTAGATATTTATGTTATTTTTAAATTTATAGGTAATATAGTAATAGAATCTTGCTACTTCTTTATATTAAAGAGGACCTTTTGTCTATTTATGTGTAGAGTAGGTCTCTTATGTATTGATTGATATGGTACGATCGAAATCTTCTATTTGTTAGCCATTTGAAACATCGCATCGCTGGTACCTGGTCTACACTCGTCAGGTCTGTACCTGTAATTTTGACTGCTGGGCAGCCTAGGCCAATTCTCTCAGCTCGCTTAGACACGACAGTAACATAATTTGTCACATGTGCTCTATCAAGCATGAACCAAATCTAATTAGCAGTGTCACAAGAGTCTGTGGCAGGTGTGCCAGTTCTGGTTTCTTCCGGCCATCTCCTCCGACGTATTCTTCCGATCTTGTAATCCGTCGTATTCTTCCGACTTGACATGAGTCACGAGAGCCACCAACATGCTTCAGGGTATTTCCCACTAGACTGCATTACTTGCTTTCATATCTATAAGAAAGGGACGAGATAATGCGAAATGCGTCATCAAATTCAGGGAACCAGCACAAAAATATCCAAACTTTTTAAAATCCTCACACGTTTCTTCATTTCAGGAATCACTATGAGCGTTGAATCGTCTCCAGTCATTGTCATAGGCGGCGGAATTGTCGGTGTCTCCATTGCCTGGCACTTGGCCAGGGAGAACAAGGATGTCATTCTCATTGCAGAGACAATTGGCGGCGTAGCGACACCCAAGTCATTTTGCTGGCTTAACGCAGCTGGTGCAACGCAGAAATTCTACTACGACTTCCGACGTCGTTCCATGGCACGATGGGCTGAAATGGGCAAAGAGCTTCCGGATCTCCCGATTCGCTGGGGTGGCGTCTTGGCATGTGATAGGACTCCTGAAGAGCGCCAAGAGTTCTATGAACGCCAGCGTCACTGGGGTACGAAGATACGGCGTATGGAACAGACAGACCTTGCTGTAATCGAACCACAGGTCGAAGAGGCGCAGTTCTCTTCGGTCAAATGGGGCCTCCATGTCCCTCAGGAGGGCACCATCGAAGCATACGTCGCCGCGGCGAAGCTGATCGCTCACGCACAATCACTTGGCATTAAAGTGCTTGAGACGAGTGTTACTGGGTTTTTAAAGAATGATAAGGGTCGAGTCTCGGGTGTAGTAACGGCCTCTGGGCAGGTGCATGGCAGCCATGTTGTTCTAGCTGCTGGCCTCGGAAGTGTTCCATTATTGGCGACTGAGAACATCAGACTTCCTTTGAATGGTCAAGAGGGTCTCCTCGTCAATACCGCACCGACTGAAAAGCGATACCTCAATACCTTGCTCCGCTTACCTGGCTTGCATATGCGCCAGACCCTCGATGGGCACATTGTCTTCGGCGCGTCGTTCGCTGGTGGACAGCCCGGTGATGACGCGCAAGCAACAGCAGAGGATCTCTTCGGCCAAGTACAAAAGGTGTTTAAGAATGGACATGAGCTCGAGTTTAGCCATTATACTATTGGTGTGCGACCTGAGCCGGAGGATGGCTATCCTATTCTCGGTTCCACGGGCTTAGAAGGGCTTAGCCTGGCTGTGATGCACTCTGGTGTGACTAATGCCGCACTGGTTGGTGAGCTACTAGCCAAGAAGATTGTCTTTGGTATCGATGATCCAATGCTCGGGGATTATCGCTTGGATCGGTTTAGGGATGATGCAAAACTTTAGGCTTTATAATAATACATTTCCATGAGCTAGATATTGGAACTAAACGCTATGTAATCGCTCGTACATTGGTTTAAAGTCCAATCCCAAGTAAACTGCTTCTGATCTTATATATGTCAGTAAAGCCTCCATCCACTGGAATATCTTACCGGCAGAAAGAGTAAATCAGCAAGATAGACAAGATTTAGACGCACGACCGCTATGGTAGAGTGCAATGAATGTGTCGCTGTGCCATCGATCAAGCTAGGGTGCTTTCCGGTAGGATCCGAGGTTTGCTAGAAAAACACAATCAATCAGTTCGTCTTTGTAAGATTACCGTCCGGAAGAATACGATGGTTTAGTAGTGTCACTGACTATAGCAGCAAATCCTCTTCATCCCTGCAAACATGAACAAGTCGTTCCGAGTGGCCGGTGGGGATAGAATGGCGTAACATCCTTTAAGTTCTATAGCTAGAAATCGTTGACGTCGGTTAATTAGCTAAGAAATGATCTCATCATTGTTACTGGAGAATCTTGGCTATGGTGGAACCAGAAATACACCAAAGTTAACTTGTCTTTTTCATTACTGATCAATCTGCGTTGTAAAATCGCCAATGAATCCTTCCAAAAGCCCATCAACTCCTTCTAGAACCCCAGCACTTGCCATAGCATTCATCCAGTGCCCCCATGTGTCCTGGTTCTGATCCCCAGTTTCAGCTTCACTTGGAGGAGGCCAAGATGGCTGCTCAGTGCGGTTCTTGTTAAACACTTTTGTTATCACTCGACTCGCGAGAGCTTCAAACGTATCACGATATGGTGCAGCAGCTTGCCAGCCCTCAGCAATCGCTACTAACACCATTGTGCAATCTGTACATGTCTTGTTGACATCTTCTGGTCTGGTCGATTCCCATGCTGCTGGCGATGTCCATAGGCAGTGCAGATAGGTCAATCCTGCTAAGAACAGGCAGTGCAGAGTGCCCCATGTGTACCTTATAGAAGTGCCTATGTATAGTCGACGATAGGTTTGGCAAATGTTTCTCGACGCCTCGATGCAGTCCTCAAAGACCTTACTGAGGCATTCTTTATACTCTCTAAGCTGACTCCTGTAGAGGAGAAGTATTGTGTGGCTGTAATTTGTCTCATACCAAGCTCTTTTAGCAAAGATAGACAAGTCTTCACTTACATGGGGACGTGCCCAAGGAGCACTTGCCAACCACGTATCCAGGTCTATTCTTAGCTGTTCGATTCGAGCATGGTACGTGTGATCCTCGATGCTTAAGCGTACGGTGTCCGAAAGCAGTGAAGTATGTATACGAGCCCAGATATAACGTAGCCTAAAGACGTGAATAGCGGTAGACATCCCTTTTAGTGGCTGGCTTGAGTGGCTCCTTGCCGACCCTAGGATACCGGCCTCGGTGAGAGTAGAGTCATCTACATCTGACGGGAACTATAGGCGTAAGATGAGCATGACTAGAGAATGGTTTATTGGTAATTGGATATATCATACCTCGGCATCAATTTCTTGAGGCGGAATGCCCAGAGGTCGTCCCAGCCGAACCGCAACGGTGCAGTCTATCCCTTGAGCGACCCAGAAGACCCTCTTTCGCATCTCTTGTTGGAGTGTGTTTGCGGCTGGTGCAAATTGCTTAACCCCACGATGATACCCCAGTTCAATGCACTGCCGTAGTGCCAGCCCAGATATCTT